GCCGCTCACCATCATCATCGTCAACCTGGTGGCCATGGCGATCGGGTTATCGAGGACAGTGTACAGCGAGATCCCGCAGTGGAGCAAGCTGATGGGTGGGTTCTTCTTCAGCTTCTGGGTGCTGGTGCACATGTACCCCTTCGCCAAGGGGCTGATGGGGAGGAGAGGGAGGACGCCCACCATCATCTGGGTCTGGTCCGGCATCGTCGCCATCACCCTGTCGCTGCTGTGGGTCTCCATCAACCCGCCGGACAATAGCATTCCCAGCAGCGGAGGAATCGAAATCTGAACGAACAGGCAGAAACAAAGCAAAGCGCGCGTGCTTCCCATCAAGCAGAAATAAACAGCTGTAAAAACCGTACTGTCACATTAAAATATGCTACGGGGAAGATATAAAATTGATTATATAATTACTTTTGGGCAATATTTCTAGTAAATATTATTTTTCTTATTTTCTAAATGGTTTTTTTTTCAATTAATCACCTATTATTTTTAATATTCTAAAGATATCCCTCCAAGTGTTATTAAAATAATATAAAAAAACATATAAATTATTACAAATCATCCAAATGACTCCCACTCTCAACTAAAGTATTAAAAAAAATGCATACAAATATAATTTTTTTTATACTTTAGAATCAACGATAATATCAATTATAATATTTTTAGAAACTATAGAGTGTTTTCAAGTAGTTATATAGTGTTTTGGATACCTCATTAAAAAAATATTATAAAAAAATAATGTAAATCACTATAATGACTCTTAATCTCAGTCAAAACAAATTAGAAGCTTACAAATATAATTTTATAGTTTTTTTTTTATGATGATGACATAAGAGATAAAAGATAATGTCAATTATAATTTTTTAATGTTTATACAGTGTTGGTTGAGAAGCATAAAAGGATGGGTAGAAATACATAAAAAGAGGATATTTTCTAGGAAAAGATAAATAAAAATTTTATCATCTTATATTAACTAACTAAGTCTTTGAATTTTCATCCCACCATTTATATTAATAACTTAATTTTTAAAATTAGAATATTTTTTACTATATTTTATCACTTTGTGTAATAATATACTGATCAACCATGATGTCTCAGTAGAGACTTTCTCATAAATTCTTAGTTTCAAAAATTCTTACAAGCAAATTGAGAAGAGAGTTGATAATTACTATACATATACTCTAATCCAAATTGATTTTGCACTTAAGATAAGTCTTATAGCTTAAAAATTGAGTTCATCTCCCAAAGCTAAAAAAATATAATATTTTTTATAAATAAATTTTTAAAATTAAGATGAGAGATAGGACGATATTAGATGATCTATTGATTTCGAGGATTTTTCTTCTTGCTTCTACTCGAGATGAGATCAAGAAACAAGAAAATTAGCTCCATCACATAGAACAAAGAAAATAGAAACTAGAAATAGAACACAGATTCCACCCTAGCTAACAAATTGGGAGAATAATTGAAAACAAAATCAATCACTGTAGATCTTGAGCTATCCGTTGGGAAAAGAAATTGGAGGATGAAGGCAAGGAGAGATTAAGATACATAGGTGTTAAAAATATTCAAGTATACGAGATTAAAGGATAGTCTCATATGGTTAAGGATTAAAAGAGTTGAATTAAATATATATTTAGTTCATAACTTATGATCTTAAGTTTTTAGATTGAATTAATATCTACTTGACATATTTTAATTTTAACTAGATCTATTAGAAAGAAGAGAAATGCATAAAAAAAAATTTCAACACTATAGACATACTATCATACGCTATGTATAAATATTATTATGTTATTAGGGTGTGAAGTATGCTTGTCGCGTTTGAGAGAGAGAAAGTTCTTTCTTTCCTTAATAAAAAATATAAATCTATTAATTTTTATAAGAAGCAATCCTCTTCTAATAGAGAAACATAAGAGATAGGACATTCTTGAACTAACTAGACATCTATTTCCATAATATATAGATGAGTGGAAGAAAAGCTCCAACTATTTTCTCTCAATTTGTTTCTAAAAAAAATGTCTTTTCATATATAATTAAAGTATCCAAAAAATGGAGGATACCTGTGAGTCTTGAAGTCAATGATCCAACACCTAAACTTTAGAAAATTAAAAATCACTCCATGAAAATGAGCTAAGATATTTTCCCCTACAATAAAATATGTATAGTGCATTGACAACATCCCTTTAATGCCTAAGTTAGAAAATTCTTGATATGATTTTTTTAGCAAAAAGAGAAAGACAAATTTGGATCATATGTTGGCATATGGCTCCCTAAAATTAAATAATTAGAAAAATATTATTAAGATGAGAAAAAGGAGAAAGGAAATGGAGGAGGAGCATAGGGTTGACATGAACCAATTCAAAGAATTATAAAAAATAATTAAATTATAAGGGTAAATATAAAATTTTAAGTAATTTTTTAATAGATGACATCAACTATAACTATAACTATAACTATAACTATAACTATATATATATATATATATATATACCTTTCCACTTTGGATCCATGCCGTTCGCAGCGGGAGGAGCGAGCGCCTACCACCTGCGCACGTCTCTTCCAAGCCCTCCTCCTCTCGTCCTCATTAGGTTTGTTCTTCCCGTCACGTCAAAGAAAAGGTTCGATCTCGCCCTTTTACCCTCTCCTCTTCTTCTCATTGGTGATTTGACCTAATCTCTGCTTGGAATAGTCGATGCTTAGGGTTTAGATCCTCGTTCGTCTGATTATGTTGAAATTGCAGGCGTGTCATAGGGGGAGTGACGAATTGAATCTGACGATTGGCTCTTGGTACGGTTTCGAACGTCTTTGAGCCATTCGATTTGATTGCCTTGTTGATCGGTTGTGCTTCTCTCTGCAATTAGGTCGAATCTTATGTTCTTCGTATACGTCGGTTATATATTTGCGCATTAAGCACATAACTTGGGATCTTACAAGAAAATCTAGTAAATAAATAATTGAAGAAGTCAAAACATAGTTTTTAATCTTTTGTCGCCAACTAATTATTCGTAGTATATTTAATTATTGAAGCTTAAGATCTTGGAAATGCTGTAGCTTTGTTCCTTAATAATTACATCTTTTTTATGCATCAAAGGAAACGTTAATATTGTTGGTAATATTATCCAAGTGGTATCTACTACTACCATAGAAATGAACAAAATACAACTTGAGCTCAAATTCTGTTAAGCTCAATTGCGCACGTCAGCTTCCAAGTCCTATAACCTTTTCTTCATATGTTTTTCAGACCACTAATTTATTAAGCAGAAGGGGCAGTTATTAACAGTTGTTTATGAAAATAGATTACGATCTTTGATTAACTAAGTGCTTGTATCCTTTCCCGTTTCTCGGTGCAGTTCTTTTCAAGTTACCAAGGAACTAGTAGACAATATACTATATAATGGCCTCAGAAAAGGATGTATTTGACATCTCAGGACCATTGCATATTACTTCTGTAAACTGGTATGTAGAATCTTTAACATTTCACTTTTAAAATTATATATTGGAAGTGCCAATGTTTTGGATATTTGAGAAGGAAAATGTTTGTTTATTATATTCGCAACACAAGTAGTCCTGTATTGTTTTCATACTAATGCTTAGATGCATTGTTGGAAGAGAGTGCATGTTAATTTCTCAAATTTTAGATAAACTAATATTTGAAATTTTATATGTGTATTTGTTTTATTAATGTTTGGTTAATAGTATGGAAAGACGACCTTTTCAGGAACTTCAGAGATGACATAACTGGTCTATTTTGTCTTCATCATCATGAGGGATAGATAAACCCTTGTGTTTTTCTCTGTCAAATTGTCTTTTCATTGATTGCATGTGGGAGTTTCTCTTGCCTGGCTTCTTTGATTAAAAAATTTGGTTTTGTATTGCTTAAATACATGTCATAATGGTTCATATCCAGTTCATGATATCGAGATTTCCGTAGCAAATGTGCAACATCTGCATGTTGTCATAATGTTCAGGTTGCTATGCTAAATAGTACCAGACATATGTCGGACACAATCATATCTGTTGGTTTTCTCTAAAAAAGTTGTTCCTCGATATCATGATTATGTCTATTTGTGGTGATATGTGAGATTTTTCCTAATCCATAATTTGTATTCTAGAATTACTTTTATTTGTAAACCTGCACCTATTATTCTCTGCTAGAGATGTCTATATAGTTTCAGGTGTCTGAACAATGATGTTCTTCATATTAGGCTTAGAATGCTTGGACTATATACAAGCATGCATATCTTTTTCGTCGATGAAGTTTATTTCTTTGTTTTGCTTTCAAGTGATGATAACAACTTAAGTATTTTCTATTGAACTATGTTTAAAAGGAAATGCTCACATCACCGGCGGTCAGTTGCTGCATGTTTAGTTCAGGGTGCATACGTATCAGAGCTGGATCGACAACATAACCGCAAGGGCCAAGAAGCTTTTGCACCTCCTTGGTGGGAGTTCTTTCGATTTGAACTGTCCAGTAATCTTGTCGATGATGCCGATTCTTCAATCTTTGGTGCAATTTATGAATTTAAACCTGCTTCTTCCAAAGATTCTTCAGTTCAGGATGCCCCAAAATTTGTCGTTGCTTTCAGAGGTACAATACCAAGTAAAGAATCCTTGGCCCAAGATGGATTATTGGACATCAATATCATTCAAAATGGTCTCCACCGTACTCCCCGGTTTGCGATTGCGATGCGAGCTGTTCAAAATATAGTCTCAGCTGCAAAAAGTTCAAATGTATGGCTTGCTGGGCATTCTTTAGGGGCAGCCATTGCGACACTAGCAGGCAAGAACATGGCCAAGACGGGAATACTTATTGAGACCTTTCTCTTCAATCCACCATTTGTCTCTGCTCCAATCGAGAGGATCAAGGACACAAATGTAAAGCAGGGAATTCGCATCGCAAGCAGCTTTATCACAGCTGGACTTAGTTTTGCCTTGAAAGACCATCAAGAGAGATCTACACCGGATGATTCCTTTGCCATGTTATCATCATGGGTGCCTCGTCTTTTCATCAATCCGTGTGATTTTATCTGTTCTGAGTACATTGGATATTTTGAACACCGGAACTTTATGGAGAAGCTTGGAGTTGGAGGCATCGAGAGGCTAGCAACGCAAAACTCCATAGGGGGTCTATTCTTACGTGCGCTCGGAAAGGACTCCGACCCCTTGCATCTTCTTCCTTCAGCGAATCTGACAAAAAATTTGAGCCCTTCCCCTGACTTCAAAATCGCTCATGGTCTACACCAGTGGTGGAGGCCTGATCTACATTTGCAATCTAAGCAATATCATTACGGGTAAATGCGGAACGGAATGGTGTGATTTCTCCAGCAGCCGAACACTAATGCTAACAATTCTTTTGTATGGTGATACATTATCTAATGTTCTGTATGTGTGCCATAAATTTTACGATACTCAAATTAACGTTGGAAATGAACTCTTGAATTGTACCTCACTGCCATTTTACGCTGAATTAGCTGAATTAAGATGTGCTTATTAAAGCTCCTCGACCATCAGATTGGTGATGATACTTATTATGCCGTGCCACAAGACGATGTTGTTATTAGACATCTCTCGCAGTTGAATGTGGCCCAGAAGTATCAAACCGATTGAGTATAAAATTGAAATACAAGAGTTGTATCGAAGAAGCGTTCACTCGGACGGATCTTGTGATCGCCTAAATCAATCACATCTTCTCACGCTTTTTTGAGAAAATTAAGGGTTATTTAAATTTTTGGATTAATGATTTCTCTTTGAATCAGTGGTTTTTTATTCTAATATAATTTTTTTTACAAGATACTTAAATATTAATCGTATCAGATCTACTTATTATCAAATATTGAAAGATCTGAAATCTCATCTGACATATTTATATTTAAAATATTAATATATTAGATCCATTTGTAAAGAAAGATCGAACGATATAATTTTTTCTTAATGAAAAGAGTCTTGTCATTCTAAATGTCAGCACAAAAGCAATGACGATGGCAATTTGACCCCTTTATTGGTTCATATCGATCCATTCTGCAACGCATCCCCCGTCAAACGCCGAATGCTTTGCCCATCAAACCGAGTCATGCAACGCCTTCGGCCTGCAACGTGTGTGCCGCCGGATGCGGAGCTCCGCCGCCTATAGAGACCTTGGGCACCATCAGCTTCCGCCATCAACCGCACTGTTCTTACTCCGACTCACGTCCAAGAAAGCTCCATAAGAAGGGAGAAATGGCGGATCAACAAAACCTGGCGTTCAAGGCAGGGCAAGCTGCAGGCCATGCTCAGGTTCGTCACAGCAAAGTTCTTCGATGGAACTATCGATGTTAATACGTTTTTGAATAAGATTTGATGAGAAATGATGGTTTGAGTTTGTGTTCTGTGGATGGGATGGGATGATGAAGGTGAAGAAGGATGAGATGATGCAGAAGTGCCAGGAGACGACGGAGCAAGCCGGGGGACTCATGCAGCAGACCGGCGATCAAATTAAGAGCATGGCGCAGGGGGCCACCGACACCATGAAGAACGCCATGGGAATGGGTGGCAGCAACCCCAAGCAGTAGTAGCGGTAGATGGTTCCTTCAATCTCCTCTCGCTGGGGTGGGGGGGAAGCATGTCAGCTCATTGTTGACTGCTCTACTCGTTTTGTTCTGTAGTTTGTGTTCTCTTTGGCTGCATGCTTTGGATGCTTAATAAGCTATTAATAACCCAAGTTTTGGAGATTAGAGATTGATGACTTTTATGTGATGATTGTTGCGATTCCATTTGATAAGGATGATTGATTAGATGTCTTTCGCATGTTCGTTGGATTAATGAGCTTTAAAGGAAACATTAAGATAAAAGAGATCGACGATAACAATAATAAAGTCATAATATCCCAATATTAGATGAATCTTTGTTCCTTATTGAACTCCGTAGAAGATTTCATACTAATAGTATCATAAAAATATTTAAATATTTAATTTTATATCTTTTAATAAAATCATAATAATAAAATCTTTTTAGATCTTTCTCTACCATAGCATTTATATCTCCTCAGTAAATATATTTTAAATTATTCTTTCTAAACTTTATCTATCGATTCTATCGATTCTACAAATTTTTTATTGACGACTAACACTCATATCAATAAAACATACGAAGTCCGACAACGCTAGAATGCAATTTATAAGAATGACATAAACCCTCAAATTTAAGTAATAAAAAACTTGGGATAATTACTTTCGACGAGTGCCGATAAACTGACAGGCATCATAGCAAGAACAAATTTTCTCTCTTGAAAGCACCACCAAGTCCAGCTGCTGTAAGATTAACAGATACTGAGTGATTTAGCATTACAGATTTCCATAAATGAACTCTCAAAACAAAAAAAGAGTTCATCTGAGAGAAGCTACAAAATCTCAATATAAACGATCGAAAAAGATGCCAGCAAACACACTGGAACTTTGCATTTGTTGTCATATAAAGACATTTATGCGTGTGTGCAGTAAAGAAACAGCAATGTCTGATAAGAGATATGAGACAATGCCAAGACATTAAGTGATACCTAAGAGTTAGCAGATACTTCCAACACGGAGGAAAATTCACAACTTGTGCCTTGGGGATAAAAAGTTGTGTTACTCGGATGCAGATCATCTTATCGAAGCCTAACGAGGGTGGGAATTAAAGAAAGTTGTTCTGGACTACTTTCTTCAATTCCTCTAGCCGCTGAATAACCTTTGGGTTCATCAAGTCCCTTGCGTCTCTTATCAGCGTACCTTCTCTACTGAAATTGTAAGCATCCAGCACGGTCTGAATCCAAGTATGCAATGCCTCAGGCGTTCTGCAGACAGCAAATAAAAGTTCAACCAAAAGTACTTCAAAATTGAAAAGACAAATGGAGGACAAAAAATATAATTAAAATTTTCTATAAAGTCACAAGACTCAAGTGTATAATTAAAATATAAGTTCAACCAAAAGTACTTCGAAAAAGAAAAGACAAATGGAGGACAAAAAAATATAATTAAAATTTTCTACAAAGTCACAAGACTTACGTGTATAAACAGTCAACATCCTTTCCTTCCAGTTCAACCCCAGGTGTAAAAGCTTCTCTCAACGCATGTAACTGTTCCTCAGGATCCTTAATTGTGAGGAGATACTTAAGTATCCTGATTTCCTTTGGCATAAGCCTCTGAAGATTTCCTACAGCAGTCTTGTACAGATGATACAATATGTCCTTTGCCTGAGCATAGTTTGAACCAACGTCAAGCATATTGAAGAACTAGGAAAATGTTATAATAAATTCATCAATACAGAGAATGAAGTTTTCCCGTATTATTCGACTTCAACAGAAAGCAAAAGATAGAAACTTCTACACAAACATACAGAACCTCTTTATAGCCTATGATTCATCAAAATGAGTAGCAGTTCTTATACCTCATCCTTCATCATGTTTGTTTCTTTGGCAGCTGACCAAGCTTTGGTGATCATCAACATCAATGCAGAATCAAGTTCTTTTTTCTCTGCGAGATTGTCGATCTTCCTGCAGGCAGCATCTAAAGTAGGTGAACTAATTATATCATTAAACTTCAACTCAGCGGCATTCAGGGCCTCGATGCTTTGTGATGCATTGTCATATGCTTGTACAGCAGCTATACAAACATTTCCTATCCTTGCCAGTTCTGTTGAACAATGTTATGATAGAAAAAGTTACTCCCAAAAAGAATAGACAAGTTACTAGAAAATGAAGAAGTGCGTAAGAAAAGTAAGATCACCACCAGATCCTCATCATCATAGGAATCTTCCACAATCAAAGCTTAGTAGATCATCTTTATCACAAAAAAAAAAAAAACCAACATTGATGCAAGTAATGACCTATGCTTCTGCATATATACACAGATGTAGAATTATGTCTTTTGTTTGTCAGTCATCATCAAGCATCATTAAATTATTTACATGCATAATTATCAAAACACAAAACAATGTCTTATATCAGCTAAGGAAATAGGAAAAGAACTAATATCAATTAAGGTCAAATAATAATCTAACTGAAAAGACTTAACATAAAATCTACTAAATAAATAAAATACAGTCTATAATTACAAGTTTCTTGTCTGCCTAAAATCTTTATGGAATGATTCCTAACATTGAAATAATCTACATAACGAAGTGATGATGAAGATGTTCCAATCAGACGCATATATCAAAAAGTCACACTCAGGAGTCCAGCAGCTGCAACCTCACTAAAATAATCAGGCCAAAATGTCCAAAGACAAGAAGATAATTACATATGCACTGCAAATCAGGAAAAACTTCAATAGCCTATGTGAAGAGCCATATGCACAGCAAGTCAACAATTCATCATGCAACATTATGGAGTTCGGTTAAGCCTTACCATTTTGTTTTGAAGGCTCATTATAGTAGGACTCTGCCACAGTATGAAGGTGGACAAAGAATTCCTTGGTGAAATCTTTGCGACGCCTAGCAACAATAGCACTTATTTCATCTGGTGCCTCTTTAATCACTTCAAGAAGTTCATTATGCCTTTGCACATCATCATCAATCTGAAAATGGTTGGACCCAAAAAAAACATTGCCCATCAATATTATTGCATAAGCTGACAAAAAGCAAACGAATGGATTTGGAGATTTGTGAGAGTGCCATAGAAGTGCAAAATTACCTCTTTCAACTTCCTTCCCAGCCGGAGAAGCTTGTGCTTCATCCCTGGATCACCCTCACGATCTGCTCTTTCCTCACATCGCCGGTAAAAATGTGGCCGGATATTACTCCATTCCTTGCTAAAAGCTAATAACCTTCTCCAATCAGTTGTTGTCGGCTTATCAACCATGAACACCTCAATTAGCTTGTCACAAACTCTGGTCATCTTAGAATCATCGACACTTCCTGAGCCGCAATCACCTTCAGTGTAATCTTCACATACAGTCGCATCCTCGGACTCTGTAACGTTCGATGAAAATCTTTCGGTAGAGCTGCTTGGGGTCACTGTCATATCACCCAACGCTGCAAGAATGCAAGAGGATGAGTACCTTGAGAGGAGAGAAACGAGACTCAATCACCTGATATCACATAGCTTCCCGAAGTCAGGTGAGCACAATGAATCTCAATCTCTAATCAATAAAACACACAGAATCTGCAGGACAGGCTAATTTAGGCTCAAAATGACTGACAAGTCGAGATATTTTCTCTAGTCGAACCATCGACTACTCAAAGAAATCAAAGAAAGCGGAAAAAACCCTGCGTTTACTTACCTCTGATTGCAGAGGAAGGGCGAAGGGCTTCTCTTCGGCGATAAGATTGGGCGCGAGGAAACCTTGAAAGGGAGAAGGGAAGCGAAGAGACCCTAGTGGGAATTGAACTCCGGGGCGAGCGGGAGCTGATGCGGAGAGGGAGGCAGGGTGTGCGAACGAGGGAAGAAGAAACCATCTCCATGCTGGATCGTTAGGGCTTTTAGGGTTCGGAGGGAGCGACACGACCAGAAGTGGAACACCGAGACGCCTCCGCCGCCGTCGAAGATAACGGCGTTCGCCTGCAGCGCGATATTTCTCTTCGCAAAATTACATATTTATTCCAACAAGAACTGCAAATTACATTTATGCCATTTAGTTATTTTTATTTCAGTCAATTCTTTACAACTCTTTATGATAATAAATAAATAAATAAATAAAAATGATTTACATATTGCCTATTTTTAACTCGAGTAGACTAATACTAATCATGATTAGAAATGATTAATTTTATAGGAATGTTAACCACTGTGAAGTATGTGGACGATTTTTCAAATTACAAATTACATATCATGATATTTTACTTTACAAAATTATAGATTTATTCCGCCAAGAAGTATGAAATTACATGTATGCCATTTACTTAATCTTTTTTAGTCAAAGCTTTTAATTTATATGATAATTAAAAAATAAAAATATTATATTATATTAAATCTTTTGTGTTAGTGTTAATCATTGTGACGTATGTGGAGGAATTTAATGAATACATAAATATGCTGTATTAAAAATATATAAAAATTTGATGTTTCCCGATTATATGGATTTTTCTTTATCGGGAGGGGAGGGATTTTCTACAGCAGTACTTTTAACTTTGAACTTTACAATTCTGCCAGCTAGGATGGGCCCGCTCCCATTTTCTTGCCGGGCCCACTAGAATTGGCCAATTACCAAGCGGATTAGTACAACTATATAAAGCATCTTTCTTGATCACAGAAAGATACTACAATATAAAGAAGAGAAAACTTCATCCAAAGAAACTACAATTCTGCATCGATATTACTCTTTCCCACAACACAGCAACTCTATCAAACCATGACATAAATCTATTTTAATTGGATAATATATATGCTACATTAAGTATGTGATGTAATAAACACTATAAAGAAGGCTAAAAAAAAAAGAGCTGATGGAACTGCTTGTTGATCAGTAATATCACACAAGCAGTAACCAACAGCAAAGAGTTGATCTAATCACAGACCCAAGAGCAACAAGTCTCAGTGAAACAGTCAGGGAGTTACTGAAGACAGTGCAGTATCAGAATGCTGCTCTTCCTTCCATATGCGGCCCGTCACTCGCAGCTTTAGATCCTTCTTATTCCCGGAGAAGAAGATTGCCATGTTCCCCGGGATTATCAGGCCATCATGGCTATCCCGAACTTCTTGGTGGCTGTCACGGATGCTACGGGGTATACCTTCCCATGTGAGCTTCCTGCCATTCGAACCAACCTCGAGTCTGTATCTATAGTTATGTGCTTCATTTTCGTCGCCCATGAATTGGAGAAATGCTATGTAAACCGGAGCCATCCCAAGCTGAAATGCCTCGAAGTGCATACAAAAGTGCTGCTCGAAACAGTGGAATATCTGCACATGTCCAAGGGAATTGCAACTCACCAATGTATATCATTCAGTGAATTTTTAACTATATAGAGTTCTGCCAAAATATTGTGCAAAAAAATAACAATAATAGTAACAACGACAATAGTTGGAATCTACTCCTGCAAGAAACAATAGCAAGGAGCCGAGGTTGGGGATGCAGATACTTACTGTTAACATCCAGGTAGCATTTTCCACCTCTCGCGGATTCGGCTTCACATATCTATGGTTGACTGTGCACCCGGTATGCGTGTCCACCTTGTGATCATCCCTTAAATGTGCAACAAGGAAAGGAATATTACCCTCCACAGAGCACTCCCAACCAGCATACGGGCAGTTGTATGGTCTGAAGTTGCACTGTGCTTCGTGTTTAAGCTTGTTGTAGTACGGGAAGATTTCTGGACACCCCAACGAAAGGTACTTGCAAGGAAGCTCAAAAAATTCGGCTACCTTCTCTAAAGCTAAACACCTAATGTCTCCAAGCTCTTGTCTACAAGTAGGGCATTGGTCCTGAACCCTTGGCTTGCAGGATGAACAAAGAGTATGTCCATTGCGGCACTGAAAAAAGGCTGGCTAATCAGAACTACGATAATGATTAAACTTATAAAGCAATCTATGGCATTAACAAGCATCTCAAATGTAGGTAGCTTTATATTTTTTTACTAAACACAAGAACCAACAAGCTATAAACCGCAACAGCTGATTCGTCATGCAGTAAGCTGGTCATGAACACATGCTACGCATGAGAAGCAGTGAAGTCAATTCCATTCCATTTATACATTTTCTAGAATGCAGCTGATTATTGATAGATCCATAAACTTGGTGAATCAAATTACGATTAGTATCTAGGAGAGACAGAAGGTACCTATTATAAGAAACATTAGAAAAAACAGAGGGCTTCAGGTTTGACTATTGATTTTCAAATAGAGGAAAAAGTATAATGTAGTCAACCTCAAATAGTTGGGCAGGTGACATCATTAAAAGCTGTGATTGATTGTCGAACTTCTACACCTACTTTATTAACTTCTATAACTTCATACATCAGTCTAACATCGTCATCTCTGTGATTCTAAGACATATAAACTATTTCCAAATGGTCCCATATTCAAATCATAAATCATAACTATCTTTATAATCATCTTACAAAGTAGGTTAATGGTCATAAAACTCCAGGCTGTTTCACATCTGCCTCCTGGTATGAACCGTTCTACGACTCATTGAACTGACGCAATACTACCAAAACTCACTAATGGTGTAATTTGTGTGCTTTGTTTTGCTAAACTTGACTGCTCTACGATAAAGTGACATACATACCAAGGGGAAAAGAGGAAATTCAATCCCTTAGACATGTCATTCTCAAAAATCCACAAATTATATTCCGATTCCTTCTTTGTTACATTCTTTCACCACATCAAAGCTCAAAGAACAAGCATATCAGTCGACTAGAGATAAGTAACCAATAAAGGAAATAGCTCACAATTTTTTTTGGGGAATAAAGCAACACATCACTTCATCACATGTCATAGTCACTCTTAAACTGGTCCCGATTAGCCAAAGGCCAAACACATGATACTAACAGATGCAATCCATGAACACTCGACTTTGAGAAGACCAAGCAAGATATTCAATCTGGTATTGGAAATCATGAATTAGAATAGAAAGTTCATATCATATAGAACACTGCTAGATGCAATGACATGATGATGTTACCCAACCAAGAATCCACCCATTGTCAATTCTCATAGCAAACAAAAGTATCCTTTGACACACACCAAAGTTAAGTTCGGGCCTTAAGGCCACTGACATCGCCAATCACATAAGATGATCTTTAGATGACAAAAAAGAAATCATCGAGCACAGAATAGTTTCAGAGGACACCAATATGCAAGAAATATCATGGTTTTTGCTTCGACATCAAAGATGTGACCGAATGCTGCAATTCAATTCGAGAAACGAACACAAGAAACCACGGGAAGGAATCTAATAACGGGGTGGAACAGAAAATCCAGAAAAAGGCAGAAAAAAAGGAACGAACCTGATGGATCGGAGGGTACATCGTGTTGGTGCAAACGGGGCACTCCAGCAACTCATTCACTCTACTATTCGATGTGATCTGCGTCGCCGGCAGACCACTACCACCACCAGCCGCGTCGTCTCCGGCCCCTGGCGGCTTCAAGGAGTTGGGGACGAGGGCAACCTTCTCTCCGTCCAACATGTCAACGGAGAGCGACATGCACTCGAGGGACCGGAGAAGTGTCCAGGTAGACGCCTTTTCTCCTCCTCCGCCGCCCGGCGAGCCGTGGGAAGGGTCGTATGGCAAAGGGGAGGAGAAGGAATACATACATAAAGGAATCAAAGAAAAGAGAGACGTAGTGGGATTAGGATTTAGAAGCATTAACTGACATGCCTTTAAACCGTTCAAAAGAATCCAAACATTAGACGAACTTCGCACGTGGATTTCTCGTCTCTAAAATTCTCTTTTAGATTTGCTATATTTTTATGTCTCTTTGTTGGAAACGTAATTATTTCTATAAGAAATTGAGAAATATTTTTGTTAGAAAAATAAAGAATGGAAACACCCTAACTTTTCCTTTTTTTATATTTCAATAACTCAATTATCCTAAATAAGTGAATAATATTATTATTGTTTTGTCAAATGCGGAAAGCACCCTTCGTTATAAAACAAAAAAAAATCTTTTGTAGAAGAATTCATATTTCTCCATTGAAGGGGGAAAAAATGAATTTGGTAACAACTCACACATAATTCATCTACCACTGGCTCGATATACAAGAAATATGGATAAATGATCACTTACAATGAAATTACGAAAATGGTTGAATCGGAAGGCAAATTAAATGGCATTTCTCAATCAAAGAATCTAAATATTTCCAAAATTAAAATCTAAATATATATGAGAAAAAATAAATAAAATATCAGAGATTAAATATCTCAAGTGCTAAAAATATACTCGTGAGAATAAGATAATTATGAGTTTGAAAAAAAAAAAACTTCTCTGAAAATAGAATCGTTAGAAGCTACGTTGATGTTATGATAGTCATCATCAATTCAATCAGGAATCAAATAACTTCAAAGAAAAAAAAAAAAGGAGAATCCAACATCAAGTTGAAGTAGCAGAACGAGACGGCAGGTCATGGCAATCAGGAGGCATTTGTGTGCAGAAACTGAACCCGGACATGACAAAGATGCAATTGTTGCCACTGGAGTCTAAATTTATTAGGATGTGTGCCGTGCCACTTACCATTCAAGTGCACAAACAACAGGCAGCAATTTAATCCTCATTGGAGTTGCAACAATTCTAGGCATTCAGAATTAGGGTTAGAAAAGATATTCTAATTATGCTCATTTTAAATTGCAGAAAACACACTGTTTGAAATCAAATGCAGGCACAAGTAAATCGAAATATATGACATACATGCATCAAGTGATACCACAACAGTAAAAAAGTTCATTGAGAAACATGATGCATATCAGAAATTGAATTGGATATCTCTATACAATGTAATGTTTGTGGATGGCACATTGCTATCTGGGTGGTTGACATATGGATAATCATATGAATGACGCAAAAATCATATATACAGATTCTTTTACCCACACAAGTTTGTGGCATATGATTTAATGAATACAACCTGGAGGAAATGAGGCTTCGAATCTAATTGCCATTGTGAATCACAAATCAGAAAAAAAAAAAAAACAGTATGGTTAAGTGACTAATGTTGATTATCATCATAATTATTGTCCATTTACATTATTTTTTTCCAATGTTGTATGCTCTTTCCACCATTAACAATATATGTAAACAGCTTTGCTGCCAAGTTCATATCACAACCAACAACCATCAAGTTCCATTAAACGTGCTTTGAGGTAGAAAAAGCAACACAGACTGTATCAGGTGTGACATTAAAGATTCAAGTTGCTGGCCAAAGAAAAAAGACTCAAGTTGCTAGAAACAAAGAATTTTTAAAATTGCCAGAAATAAAAAAAAATTGGCCACTACATTATTCTTTTTCATGCTCAGACATGACAATTAGAGCCTTGCCATGAGATACGAAAGTCTTTTAAGCATCATTGTGTTCCAAGTGCATTCTCCCAGTTTGAGAAAAGCATTTTCAAGTTGGTCTGAAACATGCTTACCTTGAGAGCTTGCGAATACATTGCCTTGCATATCAGTAGCTGTATTAATTTTAACTTGCCAAATGTTCCACACGGATATTCACCTCATATGAAACTACTCGGGATCACCTTTGAAGACCCTGAAATTGCAAATACGCTTGGAAACATCAGTACACCTGGATACACAAACCCTTGCTTCCTAGGAAAGGTCAGTAAACTACAAATATGTCCTCAATAAGCAACTAAATTGAGACCCAAAACAGGCAGACATACGGAAAGAAACATAAGGAAAGAAATCTAAGTTAAAACTACAAATGACAATTTTATTATGACACCCTATGATAAAAATACTTGCAAACAATCAATCAATCACTAATGTCAAAGCAACTCACAATTTAATTATTTCTTTGCCACTCACCAAAATTATCACCCAATTTCTGTAAAAACATCAAATTTGTGATTAATTGTTACAAGATAGTACACTATAAAGCAAAGGTATCAAACCTCATATAAATAAAAGAATTAAGTTCAAAATCTTGTGATGAATCCTAAGCTCTATTGAGAGAAAGAGAGAGTTGATCTGAAACGATAATCGACTGAAAGAATTTCATAGAGTTGGAATCCACTGACCTAAAAAAATCTTAACAATGTCTCTTGAACCTTATACAATGACAAAGTAAAGAAGGGGTACCTGTTGCAAAATTTGTGCAGTCTCTCTGAGGTACTTGACATACTCTTCTTTTTTGGTGCTGAACATCGTCTTCACATGGTTTAGCAGTGTTTCTTCTCTTTGCATGTCTTCAAGAAGCCTTTCTTTCTGCCATCTCAGAAGCTTGAGCTGCTCCTCAATCTCAAGTACATCTGTGGGTAGTCTTGATATTCCAGAGCTTATTGGAAATATTACCTCAATACAGTTCCTATTCCATCAATTATCAAGATTTAGTTTATATAAAATAACCTTAACGAGTAAAAGATAAGGTATCAGCTTACAAACCAAACACTGATAAGATTTATTATCATTTCTTATGGTATGTTTTCATGACATAAGAGGACTAGAATAGCATATCTTATATGTACTAATATTAAGGACCGGGAATGTGAACTAAATTTCCCTGTATTATGAGATTGAACACTGACGAGATCATCTAACAGTCATTGAGGAAAGAGAATTATTTTCTAAAGCAACGTGCTTCAATTTTGTGCATAATTTAAACTCAGATGTGAAGGGACAAATTGATGTTTGCAAATTCTATGTAGGATTACTTTCAATTGATGAGAAAAACACCAAAAGTATCAGCCTGCACTGAACAATATCTATTACCTGCCACCAAGGTAAAACAAACCACCGCTTTTCATTATGCCCCCATCTAAAGAGATGGCACCTTCACTTAAAAAAGGCAAAGCACGTAGCATATCAGATCTAGTTTTATACACTTGCAAGCGAGAAAACAAGTTATAAAACAGAGTCTCTCGAAGTCCATGCCCACTAGCTGTGATACAAGATAAGTGCATATGGTCCACATCAATCATATTGACAGCAAAGTCTATAAATCCGGGTGGAGGATCCCCATTAGGTAACCTTGGCTTCAATAAAGCAAGTCTTCTTTGAGGATCTTCAGGCACAAATCCACCAATATATGGTCTGTAAAAAGAGAAAAGTAAATGGTAATCTGAACGACATGTGACTCCTTGTGTACCGGTCTTAACCACACGAGCAAGAAGGTTTCATTGAAAAGAAATTCACAAATTCACACCTTAAATTCTCAATACAAAAGACGAGATATCTTCCATCTAGATGCCTCCCGATAGCCTTGCCAATTCCATGAAGACCATAACTTTTGTCAATCATGCCTTCCTTATCATACTTCTCAAGCTCTTTAACACCTTCATATGTCTTGCAAACAATAGCCAACATGTTTTCAGGTCCTAAGTAATCTGACAAAACCCTGTTTATCAAAGGTACAGTAGAACATGGTGTCATTATCAACAGAAAGAAAATGAACCAGGACATCAACTTAAGTTACTCAACCTGCTAAGGTTGACATCATTTACTTTCCCAAGTGTCGCTACGATGCCCAGCACATCCTTGGTCAACGGTAACTTCGATGCTTGTACTGCATGATAAACTTTCAACTGACATATAATGCCAGCTGCAGTTTGCTCCTGCTTTAGTATGTTTTCAATTGTCTGCTTCTCAGTGTTTGCGGTAGAAAAGTCGTTGTTGTCCACAGCTCCAGCTGACGAATGATACTTTCCAAGATTAACTGTAGAAATTTACTAAGTTAGAAGACAAAATTAATAGGATCAACTGATATGCAATATAATAATACAGTCATGCATATAATAACAGATATTGCGCTTATTAGAATATCAAAGAATCAAAATAAGATAATAATTTTGGCACACTAATTACTTTTCTGGTTTTGGTGTTAAAAAAGTGAGGGAAAAATAGATTTCTACTCAACCTTGCATATCAAGAATGGATTCATCGATGCTGTTCATCTGAGCCTTAAGAAATTTCAGGTTGTCCTCATGATGTTTAATTTTCAGTCCCAGCTTTTGTAACTCATCTTCTAGCTTCTAAAATATTGCAAACATCAAACACAACATTTCAGATCCCAATGTACGAACGAACATACAGAGCAAACCACAGAAGCTTGACTGTGTCATCAAATCACATGAAACTATCAAAAACGTAAACCAAAACCACCGTGAACATTCAAACTTATCACAACTATCAGATGGAACACTGAGAAATGGCCATGTGACAAGCCGCAGAGCACACCAAGGATTCAGAAACGTATGTTGTGCCAACCTGAGAATGGCTCTTTATGAAGTCCACGTCAGGGATCTCACCATCACGCATTTCTTTCTGCCGCATCCGATGCCCCAATACCCAGATCCACCGGCAGATGTTTCTGAAGAGAAACAAGACATGAACTCATGTTAGAGCATAAGAACACCGAGCACTCCTAGGTCGAAGAGGAGCAACCGCACCGCGGCGACAAGGTTTCATTCCCCAAATCGATGGCACAAAGATTTCACATATCAAGGATTGAGATCACCAGAAACCCTAAATAAGTTGACAGATTTCAATTTTGTCGTAAAAATTTCGAGAATAGCATACACCGACCTTAAGGATCCCTATTTGCCCTTGTCGAAGGCAATAAGAATTCGCGCAGGTCTGTAGACCTCAAATCTCGCGGCAAGCAGGCCTAGGCACCGATCGTAGGAAACGCACAGGAACTCACCCCAGGGAAGAGACGACGGACATCAAACAGGTAGCGGCAGATGTGCCATTTGAATTGGGGCCAATGGTCGCGGGATATATATATATATATATATATATATATATATATATGCTCTTTTCGTTTCGGGTGCGTGAGACCGTAAACGGGTTCGGGGAGGTGGCAAGTGGACACAGTGACCCCACAGAGAGAGATATATATATATATATGTATATATATTAATAAAAATAAAATATATTATAAAAATAAAATAAAATATATTATAAAGATTTTAAATACATTTAATAATAAATAAAACATTAAAGTATTTCATATTCAAATAATCAAATTAGTAAATTGAGTCGATTCCCTTTAAGAAGAGTGGATTTGTAACTTTTTTTTTTTCTTTCTAGGAAAATGATAAATAATATTTATTTCTTAAAAGAAGTACCTGCAACTCCAAGTGAGGGTTTTTTTTTCTTTTTTGGAGTGGAACCATTTGTAATTGGTCAAAAGGCAAGTTTGAAGTCCTAAAATAATTTAGTAAATTAATGAAAAGTTTTTAAAAAATAAAAGTTCATAAAATCTTTGAAACAGATTATTTCTTTTAGATGTCCAAAGTTTCTACAGAAAGAACGAGATTGAACCCATATGCACATTGGAGATTGTGACTTGACACTATATTGCTGCATTTTGTTGGTGAGGGGCTTCATAATAACATTTACCGATGGATGTCATGTACGTCAGATGAACTTGGTGTTGTCTACAGAAAAAAATACCACATTGATATCCAAAAAATTGACAATATACATACCTCAGGAGGTAAAAGAAACAAGCCATTCGATATTAATTGTATGCTTTTCACTGGTTTTGGTATAGACGACACTTTCCTGTTCCAGCACATACAGAACACTCATCTGCATCACCGGCTACATGGGTCAAACAGTGTTTTATCCGATCATTCATGACATCCTGCACAGAAAAAATTGTCGGCCGAGTTATCAACTTAAAAGAGATTTCTGGTAGGATAGAACATAAAATGACATCTTGGTAAAACTGAATTTCGGCACTTCGTCATGGAGTGAGAACCCAATAATAAACACACAAGGCTTGTTTTGTAAAGAATAAAAAGAAATTAATTACAAACTGGAATATGATGTCCATGAGACCATCCGGTACCCACAATAAAGATAAACGAGAATGCAGGCATTCGAACAATAACACATGCATGAAGCTGATCTGACCAGCACATCATGGTTGAAGATTGACTTGAGTGGAACCAAAACAAAGTTCTGAGACGACTGAAGGGAGCCATTTTGATAAGTACTGTGAAAATAAACAAAAACAAGTTCTAGACATTCATACTGGTTACAAATTACTAATGACAAAATGATTAGTATATTTTAATGCCTTATATCAATCGTGATACCTCATTCTTAATGTTTGCCTAAGCTTAATACTGTAATATATCACAACTACAATATGATATCATACTGAGAGATATGTTACACCACTTTGCTTGGTGCAAAGCATGCCATCTACACTTGATGGTGAAATTCATCCACATGATCATGGAGAACATAGCCCTTATTACTCCGGACACACCGATCTGACCGTAAAAGAGGTTATGATCTGTCCTCTCTTTTTATGTGGTTATTTAAAGGCTGTACATATCTGTGTATTTCAATCATTTTTTTCCTGAGCTGGATCACATGTTTCCCTGGTCATGACCCTGAATACCTCATGAGTTGATACCTCAAAACCCCAACTGGCCTTTGGCGAAGGCTGCATTCTACAAGGAAAGAATGAGGAAGCCGACTCTCTTTAATCCTTTTCTGTCAATGCTATTTCAAGTATAATTATGAAACAGAATAGACAACCCTAGGCTATGGACCTCTCATCAATGTAGACTGGGGAAAGAACTGGTGCATGGTACAGGATTGACACATTCAAGGTTATCCTGTATAACTATCAATTGCAAATTTGAATCAAGGTTATGAAATTAATAGAAGTCATTGGAGAAGCTACTTTAAATTGTTTGAGGCAACAGTGACTTGTCCCATCTCACGAGGAAATACCCATCCCATGATCCTTGGTCTCGATCATGCACTAGTTTTGTCGGGGCACAGTCGAGCGGATTATTACAACTCAGCTCTTCGATAAATACCAGCTTTCCCATTGGATGAACTGATAGCTGCTTCTATTAAAATGATTTTTATTCTATATAATGTTGAAAAAGTCAATTGTCAGAATGTCCTCGAGAGGTCCTAGAATCTGGATTGACCACAAAATCCAATCAACTGTTGTTAATTTCCAAATACCATGTGTGATGTGACATCAACACCTGGCTCTTTCTCTTCTTGCATTGTCAGCACCATGATGATTTGGTTTATCAATATTTCAAGTATATGATATGTCACCTGTGTATTGATGGACCTACCCAAGTATTCATGCTGATGCAAATAACAACAACAATGTACATGTAAATGCAAAGAGAAGATGAGGAAATCTCATACCACCATGAGTTCATGCAGACCAAGAGGTGCTGTTATGATATAGGATATGCCTGAGTGCTCTTTGGATGCATCAGCTACTAACGCAGGGATATCCTAGGGAACAACAGTAAAGATTTATTTTCTTTTGCAGGTTTATTAGCAAGACAATGAGCAAACTATGTGTACCGAGCATACCTGCAGCCAATGTCGTCCTGGGGAAAGAAAAAATGGACTGATGATAACACGCTTGGCTCCTTTTTGCATGCATAGTCTAAATGCATCGTTGATTGATGGCTTGGCCAATTCCTAGTTTTTCAAACAGATATTAGTTCAGCCATTTCCTATGCAACTATCGAGAATAGCAGAGAATTAACTAATGAACATACTCTGACTCTAAGAAAATATACATTCTTCAGTATATATTTGATTCAAGCTTGATGAAAAAAAACAAAATAACTAATCCAGTTCTACTTTTATTAGATCATCAATATAAAAACTTTGAAAAAGAAAACTTTAACAGTAAAAGAATTAAAAAAGTTGAGAGCTAAGAAAATGCAGATGGCTCTGTAAAGTAAGCATCTCAAAATTTTCCAGTTTTACATCCATCAGGAGTGAAGCAATCTCAGATATGTGAATCGTTTCCATCATGCTTGATGAAGCAACTACAGGCATGCAAGCCCATCTTGTTAAAAAACATGCTTTAGAGGCACATTTAGAAAAAAACAACAAAAGTTTGACAGAGATTAATTCACAATATAAAGCTACCATATTTCATGTTGATAACTTCATTAGTAGCCTAGATATCACAAGTTTTACATCAATTAAAACAACTTGAAGGTATATATTGTTCATGGCCGAAAAGCTAAGTAGAGGGCCCTTTATTCTACGTATTATTTGCTACATTTTCTAAAAGACCTCATAATGATGCATTTTTATGTGTATATCAGGATCTTAACTTTCATAGAACTGGTGTCCACAGAAATAGCACTTCAAGCTTATTCTTGTTCAGTTTCATATGGGGGTGTATTGCACTATGCCAATTGGATATGGCATTGGATTGATTGTCCTCAGAATAGTTAAGCAGTAAAACAATGAGCAATTACCATATGAGCAGGCTCAACTATCTGATAACCAGTTCTAGCTTTGAACATTGCAACAAACTCGTCTGCAGAAACAGCAAATATACCATATCAGATAGGATAAAAATGGCAAAGAGGACGATAGCAGTACAAAAGATGTTAAACATTGAAGCTTACTTAGCATAAGATTAGATTCTTGCCGTCGAGATCCATGGTCAACAATAATCACAGCATCGTGCTCACCAACTTTATGCTCTACCCGGCCCCTTTCTTCATTTACGAGACTTAAACTGGAATTTGTAGGAAAGGAACTACTTTTCATCATAATCCTTTGCAACTTGACAGATATGGGAAAAGGCAGCCGATGATGAATCCTCACAGATTTCCCACTTGCACTATCAGAACGAGAAAACCTTCGGAAACAAGAAAATTGTGGATGTTAAGAGAAATGGCTTTCTCTAAAGAAATTGCAGGAGAATTTAACGCTTCACAGCTGCAAAATAATAACTTGCCAAAATCATGCCAAACAAAATCTACTAAACTCTTCAGAGAATAACACATGCCACAAAAGATTTCCAGCACTTAACGTCATGCATATCACATACCATAGAGAAAAAGATGCGTCAGTATCATATCATCAAACACTCGAAGGGCAGCGTATAGAAACTACGAGAAGTAACAACGATCGATGGGATTCGACGCACCGACTTACCATGTGACCGGAAATTGAGACGGGGTTGTGGCGGAATGCATCATCCGTTGCTATTTCCCTAACGATAAGGGTAAGCTCTCAAACACGGACCGAAGAGGAGAAGAGGGCAGATGGCGTAGGGCTTACCTCGAGGCAACGATAGCAGAGTAGGCGAGCAAAGCCCCCACACGAGACATTATTATCAAAAATAATTAATAGAATTCAGATTTATAAATAAAAATAATAAATATTCTTTTTAATGTTCTATTCTTTTATTATGAATATCCAACTAGATATTAAATTATTGAAAATCAGAATAATTACATTTTATCTTATACATGCTATTAGTATCATTATTTTTATACTTAAAAAAATTATATTAAATTTTTTTATATTTATTATATTAATGAAAAACTTAATATATGACATCATATTAAATAGACATAAAAATAATAGATAAAAAGATAATTTTAATATTTCTTTTATTTTCAGTAACTTTATCGATAAAAATATAATTTTAACATCTCACATATTTAGAAAGTCAATCATACAATCATCGATCATGGTGAGTTTACAAGAAATTCTTATAAATATTATTATATTTATTGACATAACATGATATAAACAATCCTTGTGAATTTACATGATTTTATAATTCTCTTTCAATTCTGATTTATATTTATTGAATTTAGAAAATCAATTAATTTAGGATATTTATTCGGAAAGGGGTAATTCGACATTGCAAGGGCAAATACGCGGTTTCCAATCGGTTCAGGGATAGGGCATAAGGCGACTGAGGCAGTACCCGACGTTGGCGTTCGAAGCCCGTGGCTTCTTCCTCCTCCTCTCGCCACCGGTTTTCCCATCACCGATCTACTAAACCCTAACCCTAAATCTTCCTTCTCTGTTTTCTCTTATCCACCATGGCTACGGCCGCGGAGGTGGCGCCGGGGGACGAGGGCCTGAAGAAGCTCGAGTACCTGTCTCTGGTCTCCAAGGTGTGCACGGAGCTGGAGTCCCACATCGGCTGCGGCGACAAGGTCCTGGCTGAGTTCATCACCGAGCTCGGCCGCGACTCCGAGACCGTCGACGATTTCGACGCCAAGCTCAAGGCGAACGGCGCCGAGATGCCCGACTACTTCGTCCGAACCCTCCTCACCATCATCCACGCCATCCTCCCTCCCAGATCCAAGGCTAGCATGCCGCTTCCCTCCGATCCCCAGTCCCAGTCCAAAAAGAAGGCGTCCGCCTTCCCCGCTCTCTCCCGCCCCGACGACCCCGAGCGCGCCAAGGATCTCCGGTTGGAGATGGAGAAGGACGCCGACCGCAAATCGGATGCCGGACGCAGGCAACATGATAGGGAACGTGACCGAGAGCGGGATGAGAGGCGCAGAAGTGATCGGGACAGAGACAGAGACAGACACAGAGGCGAGGAGAGGGATAGATATAGAGACAGAGGCAGAGATAGAGATAGAGATAGAGATGGGGATTATAGAAGGGATAAATACAGCGATTCAAGGGGCCACAATGTGGATGAAGATGACGAAGACAGCAAGACTAGGAGAAACCCTAACCCTAACCGAAGAATTTCTGATGAGCCAGAGCTTTATGAGGTCTACAAGGGAAGAATTTCGCGTGTCATGGACACTGGTTGCTTCGTGCAGCTGACCGACTTGAGAGGAAAGGAAGGACTGGTTCATGTCTCCCAGATTGCCAGCAGGAGAATTGCTAATGCGAAGGATGTGGTGAAGCGTGATCAAGAAGTCTATGTGAAGGTGATTTCAGTGTCAGGGCAGAAGCTTAGCTTGTCTATGAGGGATGTAGATCAGAAGACTGGAAAGGATCTACTCCCAATGAAGAAGAGCTCTGAGGACGAAGCGTATAGGGCGAACCCAGCCAGTAGGGATGGTGGTCTGACTAGAAGGTTGGGTCTTTCAGGGATTACGATAGTAGAAGAAGATGTGGAAGGATCATCAAGGCGCCCGCTCAAGCGGATGAGCTCGCCCGAGAGGTGGGAGGCAAAGCAGCTTGTTGCTTCTGGAGTTTTGGGTGTCCGGGATTACCCAATGTTTGATGACGATGGAGATGGGCTTTTGTATCAGGAAGAGGGAGCTGAGGAGGAGATAGAGATCGAGCTTAACGAGGATGAGCCTGCCTTCTTGCAAGGGCAGAGTCGATTTTCGATCGACATGTCCCCTGTCAAAATTTTCAAGAATCCGGAGGGGTCTTTGAGCAGGGCTGCAGCACTTCAGTCAGCTCTTATCAAGGAAAGGAGGGAGTTAAGAGAGCAACAGCAGAGGACAATGCTGGATTCAATTCCAAAAGATCTAAATCGTCCTTGGGAGGACCCAATGCCAGAAACAGGTGAGAGGCACCTTGCGCAGGAGCTTAGGGGAGTTGGGTTGTCAGCCTATGAGATGCCCGAGTGGAAGAAAGATGCTTATGGAAAGGCTTTAACATTTGGGCAGAGGTCTAAGCTATCGATACAGGAACAAAGGCAAAGTCTTCCTATTTACAAATTGAAAAAAGAGCTAATTCAAGCTGTGCATGATAATCAGGTACTGGTTGTGATTGGAGAGACAGGTTCAGGCAAGACAACACAGGTGACTCAGTATCTAGCTGAGGCAGGGTACACAACTAGAGGAAAGATTGGTTGCACACAACCTCGTAGGGTGGCAGCTATGTCGGTTGCAAAGAGGGTAGCAGAAGAGTTTGGTTGCCGTCTGGGTGAGGAGGTTGGTTATGCTATTAGGTTTGAGGACTGCACTGGGCCTGAGACAGTGATCAAGTATATGACAGATGGTATGCTTCTTAGGGAGATTTTAGTTGATGAAAGCCTCTCACAGTACTCTGTAATAATGTTGGATGAAGCTCATGAAAGGACCATTCACACTGATGTTCTTTTTGGGTTACTAAAGCAACTTGTGAAAAGGAGACCAGACCTTCGGTTAATAGTCACCTCTGCAACACTTGATGCAGAGAAGTTCTCCGGGTACTTCTTTAACTGTAATATCTTCACCATTCCTGGTAGAACTTTCCCAGTGGAGATACTCTACACCAAGCAGCCAGAAACTGATTACCTGGATGCAGCATTGATCACTGTTCTTCAGATCCACTTGACAGAACCTGAAGGAGACGTACTTCTATTTCTGACTGGCCAAGAAGAAATTGATCATGCTTGCCAGTCTCTGTACGAGAGAATGAAAGGATTAGGGAAGAATGTGCCTGAGTTGATAATCTTGCCAGTATACAGTGCTCTTCCCAGTGAGATGCAGTCGAGGATTTTTGAACCTGCTCCTCCTGGAAAGAGGAAAGTGGTTGTGGCCACTAATATTGCAGAGGCTTCCTTGACAATTGATGGGATTTACTATGTTGTTGATCCAGGTTTTGCAAAACAAAATGTCTACAATCCAAAGTTAGGGCTTGATTCACTAGTTATCACTCCCATCTCACAGGCATCTGCAAAGCAGCGAGCTGGTCGTGCTGGGCGTACTGGCCCAGGAAAATGTTACCGTCTTTATACAGAGAGTGCTTATCGCAATGAAATGTCTCCAACGACAATTCCAGAAATCCAGAGGATTAATCTTGGGGCGACAGTTCTTAATATGAAGGCTATGGGTATAAATGACCTTCTGTCTTTTGATTTTATGGATCCACCATCACCTCAAGCACTCATTTCTGCTATGGAACAACTATACAGTCTTGGAGCCTTGGATGAGGAGGGGCTCCTGACAAAATTGGGTAGAAAAATGGCTGAGTTCCCTTTGGAGCCACCACTTTCGAAAATGCTTCTAGCTAGCGTGGACCTTGGATGCAGTGAAGAAATTTTGACTATTATAGCAATGATTCAGACCGGGAACATTTTCTACAGACCAAGAGAGAAACAAGCTCAAGCAGATCAGAAAAGAGCAAAATTCTTTCAGCCTGAAGGGGATCATCTAACATTGCTCGCTGTATATGAGGCTTGGAAAGCTAAGAACTTTTCTGGCCCATGGTGCTTTGAAAACTTCGTACAGTCACGTTCACTTAGGAGGGCACAGGATGTGAGGAAACAACTTCTTACTATTATGGACAGGTATGATATTTGCTTTTTATAATATATTTATTGGTCTGCTTTGTGACATCCTTCTTTTGATCCTCAATCAAGTATCAATGTTGGATTAGTGTTTATTGTTTTCAGTTGCATTTACTTTCTAGAAGCCTTTGCTTACATTCTTTTATTTTGGCCCACATGTCAGAAATATATTGACCCTCTGGTTTGGAAACCGTGGCATACTGCTTGTGTTGTGCATGTTACTACATGGTACTTATTCATTATTTACACTGCATATGTCACAACATATATCAAGTACGTTCGAGATTGGTATCTTCATCAGGTGGATATTGTTGCACCTGCTGCATATACTTCTGTAGATGTTCAATTAATTTGCAGTTCCTAATGAAGTAATTTCAGAATTCTCTAGGGTCTAGGTTATTATGGCTGATACAAGTTGTGATCATTGACTGTCTTCCAAGATATCACTCTTTAAGATGTTATTCAAAGATCATTTGTTTACTTTATCAGATTTCCCAAATGCATGATATATAGGTAGGATTGCTAGCTATTTGCAGCTTTATTTGCTTACTTTTATATATGAAAATTTTATTAGTGAATAACTGCAAGAACATAAGATTCTAACATGTCAGAACTCAAAAGAGGGCCTAGACACTAAGGAATTTTGCTCATCCACATACAGTTCCTCATAATCTCCCTCCCAAAAGTTGCCTGTCCGATTGGCAGCAATATTTTATTTTCCCAAAACATAAGAATTCTCAGATTTTACAAATTTGGACAAAAAACATAAACTCCCTGATTATGCTTTTTATCCACAGCAATATTTGATTTCCCCAAAACAGAAGAGTTCTCAAATTTTACAAATTTAGACAAAAAAACATAAACTCTCTGATTATGCTTTTTATCCAGCAAGGTATGGGATGATTGCCACGGAATTACTTTGAATCCATAAATTTGTGATGCCTAGATCAACCACTGCCTCAAGCCCTTTCATGCATAGGAAATATTTCACTTCCATCTGAATGTTCGAAGAATTATGCAAAAAGTTTGGTATCTTCTTTAGTCTGTAATAGCTGATACTTATGCCAGAACAAGCTATAGTTGCTTACTTCAAATCTAACATATAACATGGCCTGGAAATTCTGGTTAGGTTTGATAATTTTGGTTTTCCCATTTATTCAGATCTTGGTCCTAAAATAAAGTTGCAAAATATATCAACAGGATCTCAAAGTATAAAAATTGTATTGGAACACACTTTTTTAGATATGTTTTACTCAAAAGCTTACAAGTTGAAAATAAATACCTACAACATCATATTCAGTAATGCATATGGGTTTTTAGAATATTTCTGCTCATGTATAATTTGGCTTTCAGTTATCTGTAGTCTCATGCCTGCATGCTGTGTTGGATATACTGAAAATTTGCAATCATGAACTTAGTCATCAGTGACCATGAAGAAGCTCTATTTCTCTCCATATAAGGGAAAAATGGAAAATCGCATTGACAGGAGTGCTGTTCATTGGGCTGCTCTTTTTTCAAACTATATTCTTAAAAAGTGTAAAATCTCTGCGAGATATCAGCTAGACCATCAGGATTTTTTTTTCAAAGTGCTCAGATTTTTTTTTGTTTTCTTGCTAAGAGAGAGATTCCTATTGCCTGTTTTATTGGCTTGCTGAACCATGAAGAAGCTAGACCATCAGCATACATTCCTGAAAATCATTCACGTTGGAACATGATGAAGTCCTTTTTGAATCTTTGTTAGGCATCTTAAACATTCCGTGTGTTAGATTGGTTGGTAATTTGTATCATAATTTCATATCTGATTTTATTCTCTGGGTTGGAAAGTGAAGAACTTTGTCGTGCTATAAGATTTATTCTTAAGGAAATGTATCTTTCTTTATATAAAATTTGGGTTCCAGTCCTGTCTTCCTTCTGTCTTGCAAGATCAATGACAGCGAGCTGTGCATAATTTTCAACATCCAAATATATTTTGAAGATAATTGAACCTTCAGAAGTAAACCTATGAATCTTTCCTTCATTTGTTCGAAGCAAATATTTTGATACTGTACTGAAAACATCTTATTCTTTATGGAAAGGGAAGTTCAAAGGAGTCAAACATTTATAAATCGATTGATTTTTTTAATGAGAAAAGGATACTTGCTTGGAACTATGGGTAATTTACTGATAGTATCTATGATGAATATATGGTGATTTACTGCTAGCTCCTTAAACTAGAATGTGACTGCTGTCTTTATCCACTTTGGCAGCGTGAATCAATCTTTTGACAGTAAGGATCCAGAATAAATTGCCAAGTGATTTGCATGAAACTCTTATGTTAGTCCAGCTGCCTTGGGTTGACCTATGTCAATGTCTCTACTGGAAAATGCTTAACTCTATGGGAATAAAAAAGCCATGTTCTCAAGTCTCTATCTGGAAGCATTGAATGAGTCTTTATTCCATTACTTACAAAACTAGGTGTTTATTTTAAGCAGGCATGGTAATGCTTCTGAAAATGCATTCTGTCTTGGATTTCTTCATTCATTGCATTCTGCCTTGGATTGAATACCACAGGTTTTAGTAGTATTTTTATTCAGATCTTCTTGAATGTTGCAATTCAATTGTCTTAATATTAAAACCAAGTGGGACATTAAGAATGAGGACCTCTGAGCAGGTCACTGATATCTGTAAATTTAAGTCAAAGTGGTCTTTTCAAATAACTCTCCTCCAATGCTGTTAACCAATAGTAGTGATCAAACTCCTGACTGGATGGAGAAATCATATACTTCTTGATAATACTGAGCTGAAAATATGTGAAACTTCATTTTATTTTTCATGGTTTGTTTCGGACTTGCATGATCAGTTTCATTGATTCTGAATTCTTGTTTAGTCCAACCTGTTGCTCAAAGTATTTCTAACCCCTGTCAGACCATTGATTTCAGGTATAAGCTGGATGTTGTTAGTGCTGGAAAAAATTTTACTAAGATAAGGAAGGCAATTACGGCGGGGTTCTTTTTCCATGCAGCAAGGAAAGATCCCCAGGAAGGGTACAGGACCTTAGTTGAGAACCAGCCTGTGTATATTCACCCCAGCAGTGCTCTATTTCAAAGGCAACCAGACTGGGTTATATATCACGAGCTTGTAATGACGACTAAGGAATACATGAGGGAAGTCACAGTAGTTGACCCCAAGTGGTTAGTAGAGTTGGCTCCAAGATTCTACAAGGGTGCAGATCCTACAAAAATGAGTAAACGCAAGCGACAAGAGCGTATCGAACCACTTTATGACCGATATCATGAACCCAACTCTTGGCGTCTGAGTAAGCGCCGTGCTTGAGGCTGGTAATCAACTTTGTACCTCTCTTCTCCCATTTGCGATGATTGCTTCACTTGTTCTGTAAGCTGTGGTGCTCAAGTTCCAGCTTTACATTGAATTTATTTGCTTAATAGTGTAGCTTTTTTGTTGTTCACCAGTACTTGTAATCCTTGTATCTTACTGATTTAGAGGTTTAGTAGTAATCATGAAATGATAAGGTTGAAGCTAAATGTTATTGTATCAAGCAATTTTGTTTGTCACTGGAGAACAGATGTATAAAGCAATCAGGTGACTATCTCAGGGAATGAAACCCTTGTTGGGTCATTTCTTGGTGGTGTTTACTTTAATGTGCTGTTAGCCTTATGTTAATGAGAGTGTAGATTTGGTTAATTAGATTATCATTTTACATCATACTATCCCTTAAGCCCTAAATTTACACTAATTTTGTTGACAAATTTTGTTCCAACTAATTGTGCAATGTAATCAGATCACAGATTGAATTGTCGAGAGGTCTCATCGGAGTTCTTTTTTGTTTGTTCTTTAGATGAAGCAGCAAAGTGTTTGTAGGAAATTATTTCCAATCCATGGACGAACTGTACATATAATGTATTTTATGTCAATATATATTTTTAGGGCCATTTTCCTTAAAAATACCCTTATTTTAGGTTTTATAAATTATCCTCATTTTTTTTTTTCAAATCATGCTACCTAATTTGAAAACTATCCAAAATGCATGTTCCATCGGACTCATCGTCAGTTTCTTCTTGCATTGTCGTCCTATGTTGCCATCACCCTTACGCCATGTATCCTCCTTTTCTCTCGTGAGCTAACGCCATGTATCATCTCCCCTCCTTTTCTCTCGTGAGCTAGTTTTGTTCGTCGCTCTCCTTTCATTATCATTTGTGCCCTTATGTGTGGGTAGGCCTTACAAGTCGACCCCTCTCCTGATTGCTCGTGCTTTCATGCACGGGTTGACCTCATCAGTCGTCCTCCCTTTATATACGGTTTAACTTTGTTTATCGCTCCAATCCCCTTCCCTTGCGATAACCCTTGTACCCCCTCCATCATTGTGTGAGGGCTATGGGCGACAACTCTAGCAAGGCAAAGAGCCAACAACAGCCCTTGTGCCTCCATTCTTGTATGAGGGTTGCGAGCGATGATTTTGAAAAGGCAAATAGGCGACAACGGCCTTCGCACCCCCTCCTCCCTCACACGAGGACTATAAGCGATGGCTTTGACAAGACAAAAGAGAGGAGAGGTAGTGCAGAACAAAGGCAATAGTGAATTCAACTAGACAACTAATGATTAGAAAGGGATAAAAAAGAAAAGTGAAGAAATAATAATTTTATATATTATTTTAAATTAGGAGGTATGATTTGAGAAAATCAAAAATAAATATAACTGTTTGAGATATCCTGAAAATTAGAGTTTTTTTTTAGTCTTATTTTTATTATCTTGAATTGTGAAAAATGTTTACTGACCTTAATGATAAATTATTTTGCCTTTCCACTATTCTGCTCAAAATGCATGAATTTACCGGACATTCAGTCAAACACATCATGGGCGACTTTGAAGAAACGGCCTCCACAAGCCTCACTGCACCAAAATGACTGCCCGCTATTGTTAACAGTGCCAATCCCCGATAAGACTTTGACCTCTCTCTTCTCTGTGCTACCGAGTACCAACCATCTTTGCACATCAATCCATCCGACCATTGGCAACTGAGTCCAAGTCGTATACAAAGAGACACATAAAAACGCTTCCATGATAATACAACCCACGTAGCATTGTTTCAGTCACCTCTACATAGACAGACAGCAGGAAGCCCAAAAGAAGAAAAGACATGCAGGAGAGAGCCTCAGGATGTCCAAATGCAGTCAAGCTCGCTGGCTCCCAGCGGCATCCGGTGCCCTCTCGCTGCAGACACCGCCTTCCCATCGAGATCGGACCGTGGGCAACCCCTCTCGTGGTTGCTCCTGGCGTCGAGGCCGCCGCTCCCGCCCAGCGGCATCGGCGCCAGACCGGAGAGGTAGAAAGGCAGCTGGAGGCCCGGTTGCATCGCCCGCAGGCTCGGGAACAATGCCCCACAGGCTGGCAAGGTGGCGGTGGTGTGAGGAAACGGTAGGCGGAAGCTGGGTCCGGCAGTGGAGTAGCAGGGCACGGGCTCCCCCTCGCTACTCTCGTGGAAGCAGCTGTCCTGATCGAGAAGCGTGGCGGCGGCTGGGAAACGCGGCATGTCGGGGTGCGACGCTAGGGAGCCGCAGGACGGCGAGCCAGCAGAGATGGTGGAATCGGAATAGGAACCTTCTCCAGCGAGAGCGAGGCGGTTCTTCTTGCCGCCGCTGCCTGTCCCGCACTTCTTGAAGACACGAGAGATCACCCACTCATCCTATCGTCGCATGGATTCGAAAGAACACGTTACCTTTCCTGGCAGTACACATCAACTCAGCATTGGGAGAAGACAGCCACATACACACCTTGGAGGATCCACAGAGGAAATGGAAGGCGAACCTGCCTTCCAACCTGTACTCATGCATCACCCAGTTGCTCTTCTCTCCCTTGGGAGCCCGTCCCCTGTAGAACACCAGCGTCTTCTTCATCCCCACCAGCGACTTCGTCCTCGAACTGTAGATCTCCTTGTCCTTCCCGGTCGCCTTCCAGTATCCCGCACCGGTGGCCCTGTTCGTCCGGAGCCCCGTCGGGTACTTGCGGTCTCGAAGGCTGAAGAAGTACCATTCCTCCTCCCCCATCTTGGCCTTCTCTGCATCCAAAATGCAAGCTTGGAAGGATCAAAGGTGGAACAGAGGGAAGCATGTGGGCTTGGAGTCTGACCTGGAAGCTCCCATGGCTCGCACTTGTGGAGGTCGACCTCGGCGATGGCTCGGCTGGTGAAGCTGCTGTCGAGGGCTTTCTGGAGAAGGTAATGGGCTATGAGCTCCTCATCGGTGGGGTGAAATCGAAAGCCTGGAGGAAGCTGGGGTTCGATGTTGTGGAAATGGTTGCCAAACATCGTCATCTAGGTGAAGTGACAGTGAGAACTGGCAAGACCATGATCAGAAAATGAGCCAAGCAACCAATTAGCAGCAGAGCAGAGCGAGAAAACCACAAGCAGAAGCTAATCTTTCCATGAAACAAGAACAACGGGCAGAAGCGTCACCAGTTCCTGAACAAGGGGGGACGAATATTGGCAGCACTAACAAGCAGTTCAGTTTGCAGTCCTTCGATGCAGTGGAGAAGAGATATCAGAAGCAAGAAGGAGATGGGAAAAGGAAGACCATGTCTCAGCTCTTCACTGCACCCCTGCTGTTGGATCTCGCTTATAGCGTGGGAGATTGAAGGCCTGTGAAATAATTCGGATTCGATGAATCAAAGGGAATCAGTGCAAGTCTACGCTACAAGAGGTCAGATAGACTCGCGCTCTCTCTCTCTCTCTCTCTCTCTCTCTCCACGTCTCTGTCTTCTGCTCTGCTGCAGTGACCTTATGATGTCCCTCGGGGCTCAGCCGGAGGATGGGATGCGTGCATGCGTGAGAAATTGTGCAGGTATTTTCTGTGACAGCGAAGAAAGTGAGAGGAGAAAGGGAACAGAACGTAGTTTGAAGGGGGGGAGAAGTGACGAAGAGAGAGGCAGATTAGACGCAGGATTTGAGGTGATCTGCCACCAGATAAAGCTGGTGGTGAAAGAAGAGAAAGATAGACAGAAACAGAGGATTTGAGGCGATCTTTCATCAGAGTCCAAATCTATCTGTCAGGAGAAACAGAACCAGATTCAATAAATCATGTGATGGATTCCATCACATCATCGCCCTTCTGCTCGTTAAGATCACAAGCTATCAAACTCCTCACATCCCCATCTACCATATTTGCGTCTTCACTGGATCGACTGCTCATCTTCATTTGCAGTACCAAGTAGCATCATTTGAACTAAGAAACATTGATGTTTCAGTGGACTATCTGCATCTTCTCCGAACAATGAAAGGATTGGATCCTGTGATGATGAAACCATTACTCCGTTGCATGACAAAATGCAGCATCCGAGGAGGAGGATCAACTCCGGTGAGGTTGCTGCTCCAAGTCTCTGCTTTCTTCACATTCTGATGCGATACAAACTGCATGCCTTGTCTCATCTTGTCTTGTCCCACCCATCCCATCACTTACCTTCTCCTCCATTGTCTTCTGAAATGCCTGAAACAATGGCCAGTCTATGGTGAAAACAAGCTCAACTCCTCATCTCCTCCTCCAACATTTTTCTCTGCTCTGTTTAAATGCTTTTTATTTTATAGGGGTCAATATTTCCTTCGAAAATACTTTTACTATATATATATATATATATATATATATATATATATATATATATATATATATATATATATATATATATATATATATATTCGAGAAGTGGGACGAGTTGGGCCGAACTCAAACACGGTGCAATCGGTCCGGTTCGAGTTTGGGTCTCGTTTATTTGAGCCGGAACCGAGGTTTAATAGGATCGAACCGGGCCGATTTGGGTCCGAATGATGCTAAGGTTCGGCCTATAAATATCTTTCGCGAGCATTCGTTCCTCTTCTTTCTCAAGTCGCCGCCGGTTCTCTACCTGCCGGCAGTCTTCCGTCCTCCGAACCCGCCGCCAGATAGAGACGGGTGAGGGAAAGCAGGTGACATGGCGGATTGGACTTCGACGCACCGACTCTGGGAGAAGTGGGCATCCAACAACGTCGGTTCCTCGGGTACACTCCTCGGAGCCCTAATGCCCTGCGTCCTCCTCACAAAAAGTCGCCCCAGGTGTCTCATTAGGCTCTTGCTTTTTCTCCTTGCGCAGGTGAGCCACTGAAGGCGGCGTTGCTGCTCAACTACGACCCTAGCGCCCCTTCTCGCCTCCTGTCCCTCATGTACGGTGCGCAACCATGTTCCTCTCTTCTTTCTTTCTTGGATTGTTCCATGTTTGGATGGTGTTTTGTTATCTTTTTCTTGAATCTTGGCATCCGGTTCTTCCACTGTTGTCTGCAACAACTACTGAAGAAAGGTTCGAACTTTAGAAGGCCCGGTGTCTCGTTTAAGCTAACAAATCGAAGCCCGCTACGGTTTCTTACGCTTTACAGGCATTCACCGCAATCATTCCGGTCCTTTTAGTATAGGCATTGTATTTACCTCAGATCGCAATTTGCCTAGGATTATCATTGTCTTCTCAGCTCTTGGTTTGGTTTTGATGATTCGAGGAATCTAAGCAAGCATAGTTTCAGGCAGTCTATAGGACTTTGAGGTAGGCTTGATGTCCACCTGCAGCTTGGGGTTTGCTTGCATTTTTTGCAAGTCAGGTGTTGGCACATCATCCTTATGCCAGCTGACTTAATCGAGTAAATTATGGTATTAAGCAACAACTAGGTGAATATGAGAGACTAAGAAAGAACAGCTATGTGTTTGATGACGCTGGGAGCAGACCAAACAGAGGAGTAGCCAGGGGATGGATAGGGAATCTACAGTAATGAGTCAGGCTAGTCGCTACTTGAAGGATGTGTTCGATATGATGGAGTTGCTGAGGTTTGGTTTCGGAAGGTGAGAATGGAAAGACTAGGGTATCATGGAGAAATTGGGAATGAGATATCTCGAGCTTTCAATGTTAGGCATAGGTATTGAAGTTACCTCTTATTTTATTAGTTTCTTACAACCTTATTCTATTAAGCGTGGGAGTTCTACGCAAATTGTCATCTCAGCAGTTTGTTTGTTTGAGTGTACAATCTCAAGTTCATCATTTGTTAATGTTGGGGCTCCTCAAGAGGCTCGGCCCATCAGCATCTTCGGGTAGCCCTTGTCAAGTATCTAATGCCAATTCCTTTGGTAGCACTAAGGAACCGTCCCTCTGTCTGTATCAATGTTAATAATGGTTCAATCTGATCATTTATGAGCCCACTTGGTCGAATTTGAGAACCATCATCTAGATGGCTTGGGAATTGGGGACCATCATCTCAATTGGGTTCACTGACTGACCTTCATACATCTAGAGAAGATACATAAAAGAGGTCCTTCTGGTAATGTTCAACTTTTCGCCTTCACTCCTTATCAATTACGATCTTGCCTCACATTTATTGTTTCCCCTTCTTGCTCAGACTCTGACTTTGGCATTGGAGCAGGACTTTGCTGAACCATGTTCGGATACCTCTTTTGTTTCCTCGTAGGTCAGAACCTTAAGTTATAGAGTGGATACCTGTGCAATTCTGATTCCAATGTGATGCTTGCTTGGTGTGATGATAAGAAAGCTAAGCTGGATCCAGCATCCCATGGTGGTCAGATGACCAAAATGAGCTTCATCAACTAAGCATGCTCATTGAGTTCGTAGAGAATTACTGACTGTCAATTTGCAGTTCGTGTGACCCTTACACACAATAGCAGTATAGGTTCTTTCCTTTTTGGATAAAGAAAATCTACTGGAATCTTTAGTTCAGATCCTCTAAGAAATACAGGCATGACCAAGTATAGTATGTATGAATTCTCCCAAGAAGGTCTCTTTTAGATTTGATTTCATGATCTCTGGCATTTATGTCATTGATCCTAATTTTGTTTTCACTGGTAGCTTATATTCGTTAATTAGTTAAGAATAGAAGTACATAAATTGGTGTTTGCAAGGTTCAAACAGAGATCATGAAATAGGCCTATCTTGTGTTTTAACTTGAACACATTCTCTTGAAATGCAGTGTCGACGATTGATTGTAGTTTGGCTAGAGCTATTTGGTCACTTCTCTTGGAATTAATAATTCAGCAGTTTGCACAGATATATTATTGTTTGTAACTTATATGGGAGCTGTATAGCCACACCATGTTCCTTCACTTTTGTCACTGTTGTTAGCAGAGCAGAACAAGAGGGAACAGATCTGAAGGCTGTTGACTTGAACCCATTCATTGACTTTGTCAAGCGAAACAATCTCCAGAAGGAGTTTTTCTTTATTGGTCCTGAACAATGTGAGTTTTTATTAGTTTTGATTTATCGGGTTAAATTTAGTCGTACAATAAGGCTCAGAGGTTGTGGTGCAAACCATTTAGTTCAAGAATATGTTGATATTTAATGGATTTGGACATCTCAAATGAATGAATTTGGAAATCGGCTTAATATGTATTTTTTTTTATCTGACAACAGACTTAGTTACATCCATATATGAGCATTGGTTTTGCGCTCGGTGCGTGAATACACTCAACCCTGGTGGTGAAGGTGCCATAATCATGCAGATTGCGCCACATCTACTGATTGGCATGTAAGGACAGTAAGCAAGCAGGAAAGTGCTTTTATGCCAGTGAATTCTTCAGGACTGGTCTTATATTTGCTGCTAATCCTTCAAATATTGAAAGAAATGCTCTAAGATTCATGTTTTTTCAGCTTGTAACTTTGTGGTGGTGATCAATTCCATAGGTATGAAGGTTCAATTGGGGCCGCATCGCGCGCAATGGTGGCTGTCGATCAGTTTGCATGGCAATTATGTAGAAAAAGTCATTGACCAAGTTCAAGTAAGACACAAGATTTGGCCTGATCACGCTTTAATTCCTCTTAACTTTCTTAATGGTGTAAAGGTAGATATGTTTATCTTTTCAGTTATAAATGGTCTTCTAAATGGTATGTACCAAATCTAAGTTTAGACATCATACTTATGTGTGGTTTTTCAAGGAAAACATCTTGTGCCAGTCTTTGTTGATAAAGATGTACTTTGATTGGGTTTATGAGATAATTAGTGTGGCATGTTTAATTGTTTGTCCTTCCCCCTAGAATCCTATATATATGTCCATATGATGGAGATTAGATCTTCAAGGAAATATCTTTATGTTGTCTATCTACTTATAATTCTCGATATAACATTTGTACAAAAGAAAACTCATAACATACTTGTAATTAAAACATTACATTCTCAAGCATGACTACATGAGGGGGGAACCAAAAAAGGATAAAAAGATTAGTTCATGAGCATTAGGATATGTCGGCAAGTTTTGTTCTTCAGGTGGACTCGATCAAGCACACCACCTCAAGTTACTGTAGCAACGTTAACCACAAGCTGGTGGCACTTTCTGTACTCCTTTCTTCTGCAGCTCCACCAACACACTATCCATCGATGGGGACTTCAATCCAAGCGGCAATGGCAGCCATGGCTGCGCTAAAACATCTCCTATTGCTGCATCTACGCTTTCCATCGACTGAAGCATCAAACAGATAAAGAGGAACATGTTGTTAGAAGCATTCAGATGATCAAGAACGATATCTTGTCTGCTAGTATGAAGGCAATGGAAATTACTGGATGAGCATCGAGATGAAGCTGCGAGCTCGAACGCTTGGTCACAACAGGAGGTGGCGGTCTGTACATGGGATGCGGAGCAATGCCAGGAACATGTGGAGCCGGAAACCTCTGCAACATCAGTTTCGGCATCAACATTGTGAGCATAAACAACACTCGCAAGCAGATTCGATCATGTCAAGCGCGAAGCACACACGTTGATTACCGCCGTGGGCAGTGGCGGAGCAAAGCAAGGAGTTCCCTGGGTCATGGCACGCGGAAACCACCCTTCTCTACTTCCCTGCACGGAGAGAGAGTGAGGAAGCGAATTGGAGCCACCGAGAGAGAAGATGGAGGCAGCGAGGCAGGCGGTCGTGCGTACCCTCTGGTAGTGGTGATGCCAATACGCAGGGTCAGGTGGCGATGGTGGTGGCTGAGGAGCCCACGGCACGGTGGGAGACCGCGGCGCAAGATGTCGTAACCACATGTGGACTAGCGGTGCTTCCGTCGTGGGATGCCCCCAAACATGCAGCGGTCTAAAATGCTGGACTGCAGACGGCGGCGCCGCCGGCGTAGGAGGAACGAAGCCGATGGTAGGGGCAACCCAGGGGTTGATGTCCCTCTTTGCGCCTGCTCCGGCCGCGTACACTTGGCGTCGCTGACTCCAGCTCACCGCCTCTGCCTCCCTCGCCAGCAAATGCTTCCGATGCGATCGGTACTTCTGCATGCAGCCCACACAGTAAAATCTCCATGTTATTTTGCGCTACCACTCACCATCCCTCTTCTCTTCATGTCAATGCAGGTGTGGATCGCTCTGACATGAGCGAATGGCAGACAAACATACGAACTCTGTAGCCAACAGTATGATGCAATCTCTTCATCGCCTGTGTAGTACTGTTGCTGTACTATGGAACGACGAGACTCTGAACAAAGGGGAGCCCTTCCTACATTATTGCTGTCAAGTTCCTATCATGGATGCATGGTTTGTTCATTTAGTGCTAATCATTTCGGAAAGTTACTGTCGGTGAATTATGGTGTGAAGGTTCAGAGAAGGCAGAGGCAGAGCTCGCCATTACTGTCGACAGAGGAATTCAGGGAACGGGAGAGGAAGCTGCAGTTATTTCTCGCCGCGTGCGGCGACAGGAAGAAGAAAGAGGAAGGGGGGAGATGCAGTACCTGTAGGTGGCTGGCGATGTTGTGTCGAGTGAGGCAGTCGATCCCCATGAGCTCCAAAATCCTCGAGGGCACTGCTTTGTCGATCCCCAGCTGCTCCACCGCCTGCACGAATCTCCGGTGCAGCTCCGGCGTCCAGTCCACCTGCCATCCATCCATCCATCCATCAGCAACATGCAAAGCGAGAAATGTATTGTTTCTGTGGAGAGAGAGAGAGAGAGAGAGAGGGAGAGAAATGGTGTTGCAATGTCAGGGTTGGTAACAGGGATAACCTACCTTTGCTTTGCGCTTCCTATGTGAGCCCTTCGCGGCCGCGGCAGCGGATGGCGTACGGCCTTTATTGCCGTCCGGCGACGAAGGCCGCGCTCGAGATGGCATGACCATGGACTCCTCCCTCGTCATCGCACTCACCACCTCTTCGCCGCGACCCCCGTTGTGCTCCTCCAAGGCGGCCACCACCACGTCCTGCGACGCGCCATCTACGCCAAGCATCCCTTCGGCCGCCTCCCAGGCCGTCGTCGATCCCGAGTGCTCCTCCCCAACCGAGAACTCCGCAAAAATCTCAGCTGGATCCAGCTCGAGGTCCGGGAGCACGTCCCCGTGATCGATTCCCAGGAAGAGGTCACCGAAGCTGATGTCTTCGAGCAGGGCCTCGTCGGCAAAGTCGACGTCGGCGACGGAGAAGCTCCCCATCGCCCCATCTCGATCCTCTCCGCTGGAACCTCTCAACGGTTCGACCGCAAGCATGTCCGATCTCCAAACAGACTCAAAAAGCGATGAAATCTACGCCACCGAGTAGCTCAGGTCGACGTATTACATCAACCGGAGACTGCACACCGCTGCACGAGATTGGCATCAAAGGAAGGAGAGAGGGATTGGCATCAAAGGACGAAGACAGTATATTAGAGTAACAGACACAGAGAGAGGCTGCATGTCCACCACAACTTCCTCGAGATTTCTCCGTATGGGTTTTGTTTGGTTCTGCGACAGACACAGACTCTCTAAATGATTTCAAGGACTTGTGGACGAGTAATTTCGAGGCCTTTTGGAGATCGAAACGGCGAGGGAAAAGAAGAACCGTGGGGGAGGAGGGGTAGGGGTAGGAGAAGAGCCAAAGCGGAGGGGTCAGAGAAAACAGTGGCTGCATGCATATCTGCTCCCCTCTCGTTAAAAGGGGCAAAAGGAGAAGGGGGTGCGGAGTCATGGTCTTTACTTCTTGTCCAGTTCTTATAATGGGAGACATGTCCCTTTCGCCTCTCTACAATCCTGTGGCGACCATTCCTTTTGGTGGGGGCGCTGTTGAACCATGAAAGGCACCGCAGGGAAGATGTGAGCTACGTTTGCAGAATCATGGTGCAGTGTACCATCGATCGGTAGGTGTTCCACGCTTGGCGACGAAGCACTGCAGTTCCAGTGTTCTTCCATGCCTTTTATTTGAAATGGTGGACGGATGGTGACGTGGGAGACATCCGTGATGTTTGGATCACTTTGATTTTATTCCAATCCGTGTGTAAGAAGAAGGCTGGATGGAGCTTAAAGATCTCATAAATCCAATCAGATGTGAACTTAAACAAAGATATGTCGAATTAGTACCAAAAATAATAAAAAATATATATAACTGATCATAATTTTCATGAGTTGATGGAGTTCTTATAATAAATTTATTCAAATTAATATTTTATGAATAAAATATTCTTTCGATATTTTTAATTGAGCTAATATCTATCTATATGACTCATTTCGTGTTAATATCTATATGACCTATCGACTTTGTTTCTGACAAAAATATTTATGCTGAAGTTGACAATAATATATTTATTCTTGCAAGTAAAGGACATTTTTTTGAGGTGTTACTACTAATCATTAACTTGTAGCTATGATGATGAGTACCTCCAACCAAAGTTTGATTCAGACACCCACTCACCATCTAATTGCATATTCATTTTAATAATCAACTAAAACATTTTTTTTCAGATAAATCAAAGAAAATATTACTAGTTTTCATGTAATAGTGTATGTCTTGTCTTGCTATGTGTTCCTTCTTGTTAGGCACATATCCATTCTACTTTGTGTGGTCAAACTATTTTTTGCCATTATGGACTATTATTGGTCAAATTACTACCAATTTGACTGTGAGAAGAACTAATTTCAGCACAAGAAGTCATGTTTCAATTTTATTCAGAACCACAAAAAATTATCTTGTTTTTGTGACAATAAGCATCAAGATGTAATCTCACAAACCTTCATTGCTGTGCTCAGTTGTCTCTTTCTACATCATACAAGCTGTAACAGTATAATGCTGTGCAGGAAACTATTTTCTGTACAAAGGACACATACAACACAACAGTGGATTGGATGAACATGAGATCAAATATGACAGATGTGTTGGGGTCAATGCTTGTGGCAGCAGAATTCAATCAGTTCCTTTTCATCACCATTAGCATCTGCTGATGCATGTGAAACTCCAAGCACTGGCTTTGTTTAGTTTATGTAACACTATATCAAGGTGAAAATATCTGCAGAAATGTGTTGATGTAGGAGAAGAATCCTCAATCGGTTTGCTGTCATTCCCATTGGCATTTCCAGATGCATGTAAAACCCTAATTACCATGGCATTTTCATTGTTCAGGACTCATTCGGCATATCACTTGTCATACATCAAGATGAAACTGACCTATGATTTTGATAGGGCATATTTTAACGTGATTGGTGTGGCAATGAGCGCGGTAGCCACCTGATGGTCGACATGGCACATGCGCGCTAAACCGGAGGTAGCAGAAGTTGTACCCATGTCATCGGTCAATGTCGTGCACAAAGCATGAATCATCCTCCGAAGATATCATAGATTATTAACGAGCCTCGTACGATTGACCCTCCAACAAATAAATATAAAAATCAATCCTCTCTTCACTAATAAGCGAGGGATAAAAAAAAAAGAATTTAGATATTATCTCGAGCTGACTTAAACTTCGAAGAGATCGGATTGAGAATCCTCCCTCTCGATATTGACCTTGTTTTTTTACAAGGAGGAGCAGCGATCAAAGGCCCGCCTCAACTCAACCAATGATGTGATCTTTGACCTGACTCCGTTCTTCCATCGTATCACTGGATCACTCATATGGATGATCTTACATCTTCGGGATAGAACCGCCATGTTGACTCCTTTGTTACGATGTTTAAGTTCCACGGCAAGCTTCAAGTGGCTTCTGAGAGTAAATATAAAATATTAAGAGAGAGAGAGAGAGAGAGCGAGAGAAGCTGACCGAACAGTACCTCACCAGCTTCATGTCTCATCTTTGCTGAGGCCAACAGAGGGAGGATTGGGGTAAACATGCCACAAATCCTTTGTGGAGCATAAAGATACTTTTGTCTCAGCAAGAACTTTGATGAACAAGAAGATAGTTTCCTGGAGATTTCTCTTGTTTTTGGTGACTAAAACACATTAATAACTATCAAAATATTAACGTCGAATCGAAAAAAAAATCATAAACACTTTTCACCCTCCAAATCATATCAATTCTCCCCACAGGCAATGAAATAGTTATCATGGTAAATGAATCTCCCTGAAATGAGAGAAACATCATGAACTAAATCAAAGATGGATGGCATACAAAAGCACCATTTCTCAGATAAATGATCTATAAATTTCCTTCATTCATAGTTTGACTTGGTCAAACCGAATCGATGGCATTAAACTGAGTTAGTCATGTTAGATCATGTCAACGTCGAATTGACCAGATAATTGTTTTTGGGTTCGGATGCTGTGATGTCAACTGAAGCCATTAATGAGTAGATCGTATTCGTATCAACCTGACATGGATCGATTAATGCCGAAAGCAATGTGATCATATGGTGTCAACTTTGACCTGACTCATTCCATCCAACTTGTTTGCTCTGAATATTATACGACTCGCAGTAGGTAATTGCTTGTTCGGTTTGATTATGATAACTCTATCTATAATTATTATTATTATCGAATCAAGTTCAATGTCATTTTAATATGTATAAGTATTTTGAGTTATTTTGACGTAAAATCTTATATCTTTATTGTGCATATGATATGATATGGTGTAAGATTATATTTACTAAGAAAGTTATAAGACGAAGTGTTTAACGTTAAATATTTTATACATACGATGATATGTGCTTACCTATATAAAACTATAAAATCATATATTTACTAAGTGACTAAGTCCTATTTTACGAGTAAGAATAATAATATCTAACCTAAGTGATTGAGAAAAAAAATTGATCATGTGTTATATGGATAAAAATTAAATATATAATTTTATTTAATAAGTTAGTATGTTATACTTTTATAGCTTACTTGCAGTGAGTTATATTTGAGTCTGACACCACATACTTAAGTGGTCCTTCACGGAGAGCTTGTAGAGTAGCTTTCCACCAAGTAGTTGCACCTGCGAGTTGAGCTTTCAGAGACGAAGACCAGCCCGCATGAGCCGTAATGGACACGGAAGCAGTGAAACGAGACAAGAAGGACCTCCGCCACCGACGACCCCTCCACAATGGGTTCTCTCAGCTGCAATGGTACTTTCATCATGTTCGACATCTTATGACAATACGTAACAGTGCATGAAAATTTACTGAAAGCTCGGCAGAGAGCTATCCGCTGTTGTTTTCTTGCCCGTCGGATGCAATGAGATGCCGGTCATCAGCAACAGCAGCAGCTCCTCTTCTTCTTCTTCTTCTTCTCCTTCAGTCAGCTATCAGGAGGAATCTTTCATCGAGCTTCACCACGGCAGGTGATGCATTAACTGCAGCTCTTGTCCATGAATGAGGAACTGAAGGAAAGCGATGGAATGGAGGTGATTGCGATGCGTCCAAATCCATTGCTTTCGGCCATGAATGACCAGTCATCATCGTGACTGGTCAACCACTGTGGAGGCCGATCGGAACTCGAGTTTTTATCCACCAAATATTATATATATATATATATATATATATATATATATATATATATATATATATCAAATTATTAGGTCTTTTTTTCGACCCAACTAATTAATACCTTTCCCCTTTGTTGTATTTTATGGGAGATTTCTATTGATAATTTTTTTTACTATTTATAATTTTTATTTTAAATTTTTAAATATTTCTAAGATATCTTTCTCCAAATAAGCATAAATATCATCAATTTATCACTTAATTCTAACTTACCCTTTCAATTCTTTTCATACAATCATTTTTTTTGTTCTTCTTATTCTTATTCTTGATCCTTTTTTTATCCTTTAAAGTGGATGTTATTAGGTTTATGAAGTAAGCTATATGAAGTAATGATAATTAATATATTATGAGAAATAAAGATATGATTGATAATTAAGGGGTTGAATTTAATATTTTTTTAAGGTGATTGTATAAAATAAAAGAGTTGATAACAGTAATCTCTCTTGTACTAACTTCATATTATTATATAATTTAGCTTTGCTGGTATATATGTCTTATCATTCTTTAAAGGATGTACTTATTTGTATAAGGAAGAATCAATTACAATAAGTATTTGCACAAGTAAATATGAAGTAGTCTCCCATCTTTTCTCTCACTCCTCTTTTGAGTAGTATGCATTTTTCATGAGTCAATTTTGAGATATCCTAATTTGAACATGGAAAATATCATTTTTCATGAGACAAAAGAGTCTTATTGTGGGAAGTGAAAGCATCAAAGCTTATTTTTATCTAAAGATCCTTATTCTCAAACGTCAATAATCAAATCAAGAGAGGTTTTTATACATTATCAAGACTCAAATCACGATCAAGTTGAACTAACCATTCACCTAGATATATATTATGGACACCATGAGAATCTAATTTAGTCTAATATTAAGTTTTATCATATTTTGAGAATCGATCAGGTAATAATACAAATGTCAAGAGCTATTGATGATGGTGGAGAATATAAAAAAAAATTTAGAATTTATATCGTTCATAACCTTCGTGTAAGCGAGTAGAATGAATACCTCTATGATCACGAGAGATAAATAGTTCGAAATGAACCATAAAAAATGAATGAATTCCTAATATGGAGAGTCTTGAAGCTTAATCCAGAGTGTAGAATGTTAAAAATATTACATATTCTTTGATTAAATTATCTGTTTATTTATTATATTTTCCAATTCAAAGATAAAAAAACCATCGGAAATAATACCTCAGGCACTAAAGTATATGATTTGACACATAGGCTTTGGTTGATGAAGCAATCAACCTCGGTGACAACGTGAACGTGCTATATTATCAGAGAAACAATTGCTTACCCACGTGGGACCCGCGAAAAGATCAACGCTGGATCCAGTGGCAAGGCAGGTGGGATAGCGGGTAGTCATAAAAGAGAAGCTTTATTAATGTCGCAACAAAATCTCCTTACTCAAGTGGGTCCCGCGAGTAGAACGGAGCTTCCTCCAGTAGCGATTCAGGTGACCGAACGGTTAGTGAAGACTACGTAGATTTCTTTTTGGCGCGTCAAAGCCGGCACCCAGAACCACGTCCAGCACAAAATCTGCTAACCCAATGGGTCCCGCGTGCAGATCAGCGCTTGTTCCCGTCGCAAGGCAGGTAAGGGGACGGGCAGAGAGAGCAACGTAGATTTATTTTTGCCGCGTCAAAGTCGGCACCCAGAGCCGACTCCAATGAGAAGTTCCGCTACCCATGTGGGTCCCACGAGCAAATCACGCTTCCTCCAGTCGTATGCCAGGTGAACGAGCGGGTAGGAAGAGAAGAGGAGATTTATTTTTGCCGCGTCAAGGCCATCACCGCGAGCCGCACGAAGCTTACGGTCAGTGTTGGTGGCCGTGGCCAAGTCAACCCGCTCTTCCACGCCCAAGTTTGCCCCTACCCCTGCGGTGGCGCTCCCCTTCTCTTCCAGGGGCTTCTCAGGCAGTTCGGCAATGGCAACTTTGAAGACCTCGAACGAGATGTTGCTTCCCGTCTCCTTCTTCCGCAGTATATGATAGACCAGAAGACGAAGAAGAGTCCAAGAACCGAAGGAAGGCATGGACGACTGCAGGCCTCTTGGGTTCTTGATAGGATTGCCCTTCGCCGTCCTCGCGTTGGCGCTGTCGCTCGTCGGAGCTGTGGTGTGGATACTTGGGTGGGTCTTCGCATCACGGTCTTCCTTTCCTCGACCCTCTTCTGCATCAAGCACTACCTAATTACCTTCGTCTTCCTCAATGCAGGACCATTCTCAGTTGCCTGTGCCCTTGCTGCATCTGCTTCTCCGGCCTGGCCAACCTGGCGGTGGCTCTCATCAAGGCGCCGGTCAACGTCATCCGATGGTTCGTCCGTCAGATTCCCTGCTGAGCGTCTACCCAGCTTTCATCTCTTTCTTTCTTTCTTGATGATTGTTTCTTTTAGCAAAGATGATCGATGGATTTGGTGACTGTGAACTGCTCTCGTTCTTGCAATAGATTGCGTTTGTGTTTGATGGATCGACTGTTCTCTTTCTCTCTCTGTGTGTATATATAAATATATATGTGTTGGTTATGATCCACTTGCAATTGGCTGATCACAGGCTGTCCTCAATTAAGTGCTCTCATTATTTTTCGTCTGTTTAAATAGCTGGAGAAGAAGACCTTTACCAACAACACCATTAGATGTAAAAAGAGGAAATGGAAGGTGGGTTTTTTTAAGGGTTAATTATATATTATTTATCTCTTATTAGTTATTTTTAGTATCCCGATCTTGATATTTTTTTAAAATTTATAATAAAATCTCTATCTTTATGAAAGTAAAATATTTAACCCGTTTCTCCTTCCACTATCAATTCTGTTAACGAAAATACTGTACCTCGATGACATGAGAAGAAATAATATTAAATGTTTCACTTTCATAAATATAAAAATCTTAATATAATTTTTAAAAATATAAAAATATAGTAAAGCTAGCTAATTGCATAAGATAATATATAATTAACCTTTCTTTAATCTGTAATGATATTATTTTAGGCATAAATTCCATACATCTATAATGTTAATATTTAAACTTATTCAACATCATTAATGCCTAATTACAATTTAATATAAGTTATCTTTTCTGAATGGAGTTAATTTTATATCAATCAAAAACTAATTATAAGACTCTTATAATCGACGAATCACCATATGCCACGTGGTGTATTTTTTTTTGTTTAGAACGAATCCTATTTTTCTGATATTATTCTAATTTGAACACAGTATTTTGCACCAATCTCTGCGAAGACCACACGCCAAATTTGAATGATAGTCGTATCTGTTTGGATCAAAGAAAGTTGGATTGAAGCATGTCTTCATGTAATGGATCCAAGCAAGAAAATTACTGTAAGAAAAGATACTATTATTTTGCCATCCAATCTTCCACCCTCTCTGGATTGGGTCGATTTAAGGTGATCGAATTCACTAATCGAGTTAGACTCCTTCATCCAACTAGAGAAAATATTATTAATTTAAAATATTTAAATATGTCAGCTGGCTTGATTAGTAAAGATTTTAATAATTTATCGTAAAGTTTTCGACTTAAATCCTAATTTAGTTCATCAATAAATCCATCATTTTGAGGTTTTTTCTGAGAAGCGTTCAGAGTTTCTAAACATTGCTTTTTTCCTCTTACACCACAAATATCTTTTTCCCTTTCATTTCTAATAGATTGATCTATATAGGATATACTGGTTATGATATTTCTACACTGTATACTGGTTTTAGCAATGCTAGAAAAACATGGCAATACGATATAAAAGCACATTGCAGTTTTTTTTTTTATAATTTTTGTAAAAAATATTATGTTTATAGTGTCTTCACACTTGTATTATAATATTTTCAGAAATATTAAGAAAACATAATAAAAAGTACTGTAACATCCAAATTTTATTTTTCAACAACGGTAAAAAAAAAATTATAACGTAATATATAATTTGATATGTCTGAATTGTCGTGACTAACACGTCGACTCGACTCCACGAGCTGAGGTGTCAATCTCATTTGGCTAATATGTCACGGAGACACAATTAGATTGTATCATTAAAGTATTCGTCATAATCTTCATCATCAGAATGCGATGTGCGATAAACGTACGGATCTATACACAATTAGATTGTACTCTAAAAAATATTTGGTTATTATAAGACATAATTGCTCAAAGTGACTATTATAAATGGGAGCCCGAAGTGTGTTTTCGGGACATTGGCTTTTTAGGTCAACTTGTCCGACTTATAGTTGACTTAGACCTTAAGATGATGTTTATTGAGAATGCTCCCGACTTAGTTTTATAGGATTTAATGCTCATCGAACAACATAAAATTGTATGAAATCGGCTTATAGAAAAATTAAGTTGATTAAAACTCGACTTTAAAGTCAAATAATCATAATACAATTAAAAAAATATTATTATATTTTTATACTATGTTACAGCATTTTTTATGGTTATATTGAAAACACTATAACATAAATGTTTGGAGATATTTCAGATATTAAGTAAAAATATATGATTTAAAAATCTAAAAATGGGATGTTTCTTTGGAGAAAAAACCTTTAAAATGTTTTTTTTTTCTTCTGAAAATTAGCCCTTCGGGTGACAGATTCAAATGAAATGTATAGATAACCCATTCTTTTACTCGCAATAAAATCACAAGTCAAACAAGGACATAATGTCGTCCCCCATCACTTTATTTACATGACACACGCCAACGCTCACAGCTTATCTTCTTGGCCTCCGTCCCTCCCTCCCTCGTTCCACGGCAGGACAAGGCCGAGGGGCAGTTGGAGCGGTAGCAGAGCACAAGACACACACGATCGGATCGGGGAACGAATGGGATGCTACGGCGCCATGGAGGAGGAAAAGGAAGCCCGGCATCAGCGGGACAGGGGCGCCCGGAAAAGCAGCACAACGGCTCCACTTCTTGTCGTCTTTATCATTACAACATCAGACAGCAATTGATTTCCCCCACCATTCAATACATAAAGATAGCCACGGATCGACGATTGCAAACCTCCACCCACCACCACCGCTTCAGATGTAGCAAATAGCAGCAACAGCAGATGATGGCAGCTCTGCCACCACCGCCAGCAGCAACACACCGATAAAAGCGTGTTAAAAAGACAAAGCAACATTCCATCAAACACGTTACGGGCATACCAACTTCTCTCCTCTATCTGTTAATCTGCAGCTTTCAAGGCTCACAACCATACACTGACGCCCTGCTAACAGGAACGGCAGCATTATAACAAATTACTTAGAAGAGTAATGAGATAAAGATATTGATGTGCAGAGAGAGAGAGACAGCAGCTTGCAGCAGGATTGGAGGGGGCAATGGAGCAGAGGGAACAGAGCAGCCCTGTGTTAGTAGCAGGTCGCTTTTGACCCCTGCTTTTGGCAAAGCTGATGCTGGTGTAGGAAGAGAGAGACACAGAGAAAGAGACAATAAAAGAACGCCACAGACCAAGAAGAAGACGACGACACGATGGGCAAGGGCTCCGTGAACGCTGCTTTGCTGCCTCCGCTGTAGCGTGCTCCCTGGCTTTTGCTTTCTTTCTTTCGTTTCTTTTTGTGCCCCTCCCTCGCCTCACCATTTTGGCTTCCCTCCTCCCGCTTCTTGCGTCTCTTGTTCCTTGGGGGGTTTGGTTAGGGAGATCATGGGGATCGATCTGAACACCATCGAGGAAGAGGCGGAGGAGGCGGAGGGGAAGATGGCTGCGGCGGAGGGTCGTGGTGGGGAGTCGGTCTGCCTGGAGCTTTGGCACGCCTGCGCCGGGCCACAGATATGGCTACCCAGGAAGACGAGCCTGGTGGTCTACTTCCCGCAGGGGCACATCGAGCAGCTCGGAGGGGCCGGCGGCGACGGTGACTGGCTCGGGCCCAGCGATGTGCCTCCCCATGTTCTCTGCCGGGTGGTGGATGTCAAACTTCAAGTCTGTTTCTTAGCTTCTTTTGTTCAGAATCAACACGAGAACAGCCTTCATTCTGTAGCTTTTGTAGGCGGCGGCGGACACGGATGAGGTTTATGCTCAGCTCTCCCTGGTCGCCGATTGCAAGGTTAGGGTTCTTCTGATGCGGAAATGAACCTCATTTGGGGAAGTCCGCATCTCCCTGTCCTGCTCGCTATGTCGTTTTGTTGCTTCGGTGCAAAAACCTTTGCTTCATGAACTGCTTTTAGTCTTGTTTCGAATGAAAATCGTTGTAATCCTTCCGGAGAAGAAGAAAGATTGAACTTTTGATATTAAGGGCGTTAACACTTGTCTTATTTTCAAGAAAAGAGCACTTTTTGGTCATATCGATCTAGACTTTGGTAGTGAATGTTTGAAGTCTCGATGCATCCGGTGTTGATCATAAGCGGAAACTCAATTTTGGCTTTTCAATCGTAGTTACTGACTTCCGTTCTCTGTCGTAATATTAATCTAGTTTGTACATTTGCTTGATTCATTTGATTTGTGAGAGTGTGAGACTTTCTGGCTCAGGAATTAGAGCAACATCTACGAGATGATGAGACTGTAGAAAGCAGGCGAGTGGAGGAGGCCGATGGCTTCAGCAAGTCGCATACCACACACATGTTCTGTAAGACCCTAACTGCTTCTGACACGAGCACCCATGGAGGCTTCTCTGTCCCTCGCCGAGCTGCTGAGGATTGCTTCCCTCCTCTGGTGAGTGCATTAGATTCTTCCCAGAAAATCAGTATTTGAAAGGCTGGAAATCTAATAGGGGGAATTGGTACTGACAACAGACTTCTTAGTTTTGGACCTTTTGGCTGTCCGCTTCATATGAGTTTGACTCCCATCTCTTCTCTCCGGCTTAGGATTACAATCAGCTAAGGCCTTTACAAGAGCTTGTTGCTAAGGACTTGCATGGCACTGAGTGGAGATTCCGTCATATCTACAGAGGTATGTTGATGAAATACATTATTGGTCGCTTTCTATTCCTAGAAGGTAGTGCCATTATGTGCTGCAATAAAGCTGATGCCATTATGTGCTACTTCAGACATATTTGAAGCTCTTTATAATATATCCTATTCACAATATGTTTCTCCCTTTTGGGCATCACTAGAAAGATCTGAAAACCAAAATGGTTTATCTAAAGTAATCCGTGGTTTTTAGTCAGTATTTTTTTTTATCTATTTAGTAATTGAGTGTTTGAGTATTAAATTGAATTTTCAAGTGGCAATAATGTAATTTATCTTTAGGCTCTAAAATGCAACCTCGAGACATGTGATATATGTTTGATCATTTGATGTATTGATTTCATCTGAGGCTCATCTTAAACGTTCCTTAAGACAAAACAGACTCTCATCTAGAATTACATGTTACCAAGAATGCTCCCTTCCGGTGTCCTAATTATTCTCAAAGGAATATGATTTTTGCATGCTTACTCAATTTTTACTCAATTCCTTAGGTCACTCTCACAATCACTTTTTTTTTATTGCATATATCCAGTTTCATCTTGATGGTTGATTGCTAGTTTTGGTAGTTAGAATTATCTGAATAATTGATTTCTAATTCTTATCTAGGACAACCACGTCGGCATCTGCTAACGACAGGATGGAGTGCATTTATTAACAAGAAAAAGCTTGTCTCTGGGGATGCTGTGCTGTTTCTTCGGTATACATATCTTAGCTGTATGGTGAATTATTCTGCTTAAGCAATTTTCATTTTCATCGCAGTGTTTCCTTCAATTTAGGGCCAATGATGGGGAGCTTAGGTTGGGTATACGGAGGGCTGATCAGCTTAAAAGAAGCATTCATTCTGCTGCTTTTAGTAGTCAGAAAAATCTTGGCAAACTCACAGATGTAGCTAATGCGGTGTCTGCAAGAACGGTCTTCTGCATTAACTATGACCCGAGGTATGCTAGTTTAAATTCAGCATTGCATCTGTCTTAATACCTTAGGGTGTATGATTCTGAAAATTTTATAAGATTTAAAATTCAACCTACCAATGCTTAGATATCTAGGGTACAAAGGTATGAAAGGGATAAATGCAAACTAATGGCGTTTGACTACTCTGAACCTAGAAATAGACACTTGACCATTTGGTGGATTTGAATGGTTGACTAGATGAATATTACTGACCATGACATTCTATAATCAAAATGTTTTAGTATTTTTCCTACATTTGAGCTCATAATTAACTATTTTGAGACATGCTTGAAACTTAAATGGTCTTGTATCCACAAAAAACTTTCATACTTCAATGGGTGTACAAATTTACGTCAAGTATCACTTCGGAATCAAACTCTGGATGTGAACCTATTGAATGCATATAATTTGATAAGGAGCTTTTGCAGTAGAATTAAGTTGCAATATGAGTTAATGAGACTCCATCTGGAACACCCAAATTAGTCCCATATCAGAAGTGGGTAAGACTAAAGATCGACTTATAAGGGTCTGATGAGTGTACTATTATTAACTTCAGCTTGGGCATTTTGGCCAGTGGTTTGGGCTAATTGAAGTTAATAGGTCAATTAGCCTGTTCGGATCATAATATTTGATATCAAAGCTGATATAATATTTGGGCATGATGAGGGGGCTCGAGTAGAAAAAAGGTTATCTGTCAATTGAGTGATGAGGATGTCAAGCTCTTGTGTGAGAGAATCATCATGATGTGTACTATTATTAATTTTAGTTTAAGCATTTTGATTGGTTGTTTGGGTCAAGTAAAGTTGATAAGTCAATTAGCCCATCAAGCTCAGGTCCTGGCTCTATCAGGAAATAAAGATGTGATGGAACCCTCATTCAGAACCCAATTCCTTAGTTTTCTCCTGGTTTGGTTGAATCTCACATATCATTAAATAATCATGAGAATAACATACACTTACTTGTACTTTTAGTCTTCATCTTCCATGGATGTATGATTTTTTAAGACTTGGGAAACCAGAGTCATTATTCCTTGCCCATGTGTAATTTCAGGTTTAACCTTTATTTGGAGCATTATGTACATGAGTTCAACTAGACAACAATCACCAGTAGCATTGCAAATCAGATTCAGGCTCAGCACATATTATCCTTCTTTCTTGATTGGGATAGTGTCCGCATGGCTCAACAACATTAAGAAACCCTCACATGGTTCTGAAGCTCACAAGGAGGTTTGGTTTGTGGTTGAGGTTTGACACAAATTGTGATAGAGACATGAAGGGTCAAATAAGTAAATAATCTTCAAAGGAGTTTATCTTAGACGATCTAGTCAAAAAATTCCACATAATGGTGGACTAGAGTGACCCTTTTCTCATCTCCTTTTGCTAACTTAGAAAATTTATCTAAGTTAGCAAACGGACTAAAAAATTGGACTAACTTTGTCGAGTTAGGATAAATTTTACTGTTTTTCTGATACCAAACTAAATTCACAATCAAGCAATTGGTCTTTTACTTAAATATCTTATTCTTTTCTTCTTTTTTCTTTCCTGATTTATTCTTCTCTTGCATATCCATGTTTGAATATGTATGTGCTGATGACGTGCATTGTGCACTGCCATCTAGCATGAGGTTAAGTTGCAACATGTACAACTTTTGCATTAACATGTGACCGTGATTTAGCATGGAGCAATGATGATAATTGCAACATCTTTGTTAGTATGATATGAAAAATGCTTTAGTTTAAATTTTGTACTGGCCATGGTTTCCTTGTCTGCTGCTATGTCTGATGTCATATGTTTTGAAGCATTTTTAAGTGTTCTGGTGCCTGGAGAAATTTGCAAGGGAATGTTAGAAAAGGACATTTCAGATACTTGTGTTATAACTTCATATTGCTCATAGAACTTATAGTTGATAACGATAGATGCCGTGCAGAAATTTTCTTAAGCCAAAAATTTCTATTCATGTGTCTTGTGTTTTATATTAAGGAGTACAGGACAAGGATTGAGTATATGATGGATCACAAGATTCCCAAAAGAAAAGAAGCATATAAATAAGATGGTTTATGCCTTTTGGCACTCATTGGGATTTCGTTGGCACAGTGAAAAGATGTAGTGTGCAAATAAGATGGTTTTTATCAAGTAAGATGATGAAGGGGATGAGTTTCCTCCTTTGTATTGAGTATGTAAGTGTGGGTAAACACAAATAAACCAGAGGTTTATAGTGTCACGTTTTGCTTAAAAGACTCAACAACTTGGCCTTAGATAACTCTATGCTGATCTTGACATAATAATTTGTGTCCAAGTTCTAATTTTGGTTACTAGCAACAGGCATCCCTGTATCCTGAAAGGATTATTACCTGAGACCGAATTTGCTAAGCAGTAGCTTTTGCTGCTGGCAAAGAGGCTTTCTTATTTACTTAATTTTTTGTCAAGTTATTCTCAGAAGGTGATAACTGAATTTATTGTCTCAATAGGTAGGCACCGTCAATTATTAGCGTAAACAGTTCCTTGGCTATTAATAGTTACATAGGCTTGGTAGATTGGTTGATAAAATTTTCGGTTGGTGAAGAGTTTGAAGATTATACTGGTCATCGCCTTGCTTAAAAATTTGGTATCATGAACATGTTCTCTTGTCAACTGTGCTTTTGGTGCTAAAAAATTATGGCATTCTTGTCAACATATCACTCATCTTCGACTGCTGATACTAACTTTATTAAAAATCATTGGCTAAAATGTCAAAAAGGCTCTTGTGCTGCATCCAACTGAAGCTGTACTAAGTTTCAAGCTTTGATTCTTGTAGGGCAAGTCGCTTAGGGTTCATCATTCCTTACTGGAAGTTCACAAAGAGTTTTAGTCATTCATTTTCTACTGGAACAAGATTTAAAATGCAAATTGACAGCGAAGATGCAGCAGACAAAAGGTCAGAATCAACTTATCTATGAAAACTTTTGGCTTTTGACAGATCCTCAAAATAACAGTTTTTGGAATGTATTAACAGGTACACAGGATTGATAACTGGGATTGGTGAGCTGGACCCTCTTAGATGGCCTGGTTCAAAATGGAAATGTCTTTCGGTAAGTACTGTCTTATTATTTTAGTGTTACTGCTTCAAAATATCAATTATTGTTCCACTGCGATTTCTATTCCAAACTATTGATCTTAATGTGGCAGGTGAGATGGGATGGTGAGGTAGATATGGCTGGTGCTAACAGGGTATCTCCTTGGGATATTGAGCCAACAGGTTCGGCTTCGGTTTCTGATGTTCCACCACCAACTGCTCCAAAGAAATCCAAAATTTCTCATCCTCCAGACCATCTGGATCATACAATTCCAAGTAAGTTTACAGTGGAATTAGAATCATACTTCTTTCAGTCATAAAACTCACTATCCTAGAACGCAGATGGAGTTGGATATCCCGACTTGGAGGAACCTGCAAGGTTCCTCGGGGTCTTGCAAGGTCAAGAAATCATGGGTTTGAGAACCCTTTATCAGGGCATTGATGTAACCCAATTCAAGGTCTTTGGAGAATACGTACGACTCCAGAAGGTCTTCCAAGGTCAAGAAACGCATCCACCAATGTCCACAAGGGTCTTGAGTCACCTACTTGGCACAAGAAGCAGTTGGGTTAGATCAATTCATGAGTTCAGTGGCCTTGGGACTCCATGCACATCTTCAACTCAAGTGTCATCTCCTTCCTCTGTTCTGATGTTTCAGCAAGCAAGTGCACAGCTCCCCTGTCCTCCTGCACTTCATGGCATGGATATGTACGACATGGAAAAGCAAATGCCTTCGTATGACTTGGCCAGGAAGCTTTGTGGATCAGCAGAAGTGCATGAAACGGATCATGTTTGGAAGAAAGACTCGAAGGGCGATCACAATGTTCTTCCCGGTGGTAAGAGAAACTGCAGGCTCTTCGGATTTCCCCTGACCGAGATGATCACAGTGCCAAATGGAATAGATGGCTGCGAAACTGCAGGATCGTCGGCAAAACAGACGTGAATTGTTCTGTCTCACTGTTCAACTATCATTTGCAGTTGTTGTTGGATGAGGCTATTGATCAGGTGAAGCTGAAGAGGATGTGTGTTGTTGACTTGGATTTCTGAAGAATTCATGGGCGTTGTGGAGCTGATCCACGGTCAATGTATTGCTGTGATACTATCCTAGTGAACATTGCACATTTGCCTTGTTTCAATAAACTAAGATTTTGCTATGTATGATCATTATGAGGTTGATATTATTTCATGTTCTCCATGACTCCTCAGGGAGAAGAAAGAGAATAGAACAAATTCTCCATGATTCATGCTGCAGAGAAGAAACGGTACAGAGCATATTCCAGCCATAAGAGCTTTTGCTTCCGTCGTCTCTTCCTCCTCCATCAGATGCGCAGGCAATCCTTCGTTCCTTCACTTACATTTGCGTCGTCGTCATTAGCAGAAACCAATCATAGCCACAAGGCTCCAGCTCGCTTCAGGATGGGCACCAGCTCGCCGGCGATGTGGACCGCCACGAGCCGCTCCAGTCCCCCCACCAGCCTCCCGCCCACGAACACTGCCGGCAGCGCCGCCGCTGCAAGGTCAATGTCGTCGTCGTCGTCGGCACCCCGCAGGCCGGACACGAGCGCGGCCTCGTCGGCGTCCTCGCCTACCTCGCACACCACGGGGTTCACGCCCTGCCCCTGCAGCAGCCTCCGGACCACGTGGACCATGCAGCACCCGCTCCGCCCCACCACCACCACCGGGTTCTCCTCCACCACCCTCCTGATCTCGCCGCCGCCGCCGCCGCCGACGAAGGGGATGGCCTGCTGCATCATAGCAATATCCGGCGACCGAAATAGACGAGCAAAAGCGAGAGACGACGGATCAGATGAGGAGGAGAAGAATAGGGAGCTGCGTGTCGCGATTTATAACGCGTAGGAGGGTGACGTCGTGTGACGCTCGCCAGCCGGTCGTGGACGCGTGGTGACGTCGTCCTCAGAGAGCCTCCGCCCGCTCGCGATGCCGTGCGAATCGAGATACCCTTCCCGTCAATATGGGCACGTGATCCTTTCCATCACCTATCCACGATCACATGTCCAGCCCCAATAGAATTCAGGCGTTGTCATTCGTCAACAACGTGGGACCCACTGTCCTTATAGCGTGAGTCATCTTGCGAGTGGTGGCAGATCCTGGAGCGTGCCATGGAAGTATTTCTTGTTAGTATTTATTCTCTCTCCCTCATGTAAGTATTTATTGTTTAGAAAAAATAATACGATTTATCATTATTTTTCTTAAATAATTAAAATAGTTCGACAAATTCGTGATGCGTTTCATTTTTTTTTCCGTTCTATTTTTTAACAACTTCAATTAAGATCGACAATACATATTGCAATGGTGATGTGTGTATTATTATCTCACTCTATTCGCATCAGATGAAGACGGGGGTGGGTAGGCGAGGCATCGGCAGAAACAAGAAGGAAAGGTGGAATTGGAGCACGTGCAACACGAGTCCTTACTCTTCGTTATCCTATAATATTACCCGTAGAATAAGTGCGATGGTGGGAAACGTAACACGTGGTAAACGTTGGCTTAACGAGCTTGATCGAATTGATTTCATAAAATAATGACTTGTCTGGTCTTCACTGCTTGATTCCACCGAGTTGGCCACGTCGACTTTGACATGACAATAGTTAATTAATAAAATAATAATAATAATGCTCGCAAAATTCACGTGTTTGTTGACAGTGGTAGCCATGTTAGATTTTAGGTTTCAAAGATTTTGGTTTTGGTCATGGTGCTACCGTTTCCAAATATTTGGACCCATATTTGTTCTATGATATCTCCTTGTTAGGTGTATATGGACGAAAACGCCCGTATGCCTACTAATGTTGGCAGATTTAAAATTGATGTGTGACGAATGACATGATAGATATTTTATCTTATCATTATATGATAATATCAATATATCAATCAATCAAAATCACATCAATCATACACGACTAATAAGTGATAAGTTGTTTAGGTGACATATCAACAATATATGACAATATATGATTGGCACACTAATCGTTTGATGTCATATTAACCATGTGCGATCAACAAACAACAGATTGTTCGGGTAACATATTTGCATCATACGATCATATATGATTAGTATGTCCATCGTTCAAACCCCATAATGATCACATGTGAGTATGATTATATATTCTCAGCCTAAATTAAACCAGAGAATAAACAAATTAGACTCACGGACGTAATACTAATACCCCAATTCAACTCGAGAATATCATACATTACCTTGATGATTGTGAATAATTTTAGATGTAACAATCTTCAGAACTAATGTTTGCAGATTTAAAATTGATGTGTGACGAATGAAATATTTTACCTTATCATTATATGATAATATCAATACATCAATCGATCAAAACCACATCAATCATACACGACTAATAAGTGATAGGTTATTTAGGCGACATGTCAATAATATGTGACAACATATGATTGGCACACTAATCGTCTGATGCCATATTAACCATATGCGATTGCTTGTTGGGTAACAAATTTACATCATACGATGATATATGATTAGTATATTCATCGTCCAAACCACATAATGATCATATGTGAGCATGATTATATATTCTCAGCCTAAATTAAGTCGGATAATATGCAAGTTAGACTCACGGACATAATACTAATACCGCAATTCAGCTCGAGAATATCGTACATTACCCTACTAATACCGCAATTCAGCTCGAGAATATCGTACATTACCCTGATGACTATGAATGATTCTAAATGTAATGATCTTCATAACTTATTTATAAAAGGGATCCCTCTGTGTCTTATTTATAAAAGGGATCCCTCTTCTAGACACATAACAATTCTCATTGTTAGAACTCTCTAAATTCGAATTCAAAATTAACTTAAAAAAATATTTATCAAAATATCCTCGATCTAATTTTATATGTTTGATACGTATAGGATTGAGGAGAACTTCTGTTGCATCGGAATTAGAATACATCCCTCAAAAGTTGATAATTTTTATATTTTAATTAAAATTAATATTCTTTAAATACTATTAGAGTATTATAGTGATCGAAATGACGGAGACATCAAACAAAATTTATCAGAAATTGTAAATAAAAAAATTAAATAGTCATTATATATAAAAATTAAAATTAGGGCTAAAATATTTCCTCGAATCTCCGCTGTCACCCGCCTTCTTCGTGCCGCGCGCCCCGCCGTGCTGCCTTACCTTCCCAGCTTCCCGGCCGCTATGTGGAGGGCTCCTCCGGCCGTCCTCCAACCGCATCCACATTCATGGATCAACGCGGGGCTCGCCGCCACGCCAAGTACGCTCGAGCGGTCATGGTTAGGGTCTCCGTCGGCCAAGGAGACGCGCCTCCTACGCGTACGGGACATCAAGATCTGATCTGCTCCCGCAGGTATTCCCTCGAACGCTCTCGCTCATCGCATTCTTGATTCTTGATTCCCGGTTCGTCCACCTGTGTCTTCAGTTTGAATCGCATTCTTGGTTCTTGGAAGGAATGCGCACCTTCGGGAACAGTTCTGGCGTCAACGCGATGTCACCCTACGCAGATGCCGTCGGATGATGTGCGGAGATTGGCCGAAGAAGGTACCCCTCCGCCTGTCTTGGTGTGATGGTTGGTGCGGGCTTCTTGATCACGGGGGCCTAATGTGCTCGATTATTTGCCCCACTGAACTGCTCGAGGCCTGCCGTGGCCCATTTCCAGCCATCTACTTACTGGTAACGAGCCTTTTAAGCTGTAAACAAGAAAGAGACAACAACAACAACGATAATAATACTAATAGTGTTTTACGAAGGCGACTCTTCTAAGTGCAACAACATACAACAAAAGGATGAGCTTTGGAGCGTCAGCTCCCGGGCTAGTTGGTAGGTCATGCTCGAGCATGAACATGGAAGTGTGTAGGAGCGGCGAGCAGAGCATTGGTTGAGCCACCCGCTGAGCTTTCGCAGAATATATTCCTGTCTCGCTTTTGCCGCGATTTCCCCTCGCTTTTTCCAGATTCCTTCCTTCCTCCCTCCCTCTCTCCCTCCTTCCCGTTATATATCAATCCATCAGTGGCCGCCTTGTACGTGGTGGACTCCGTCCAACGAATCCAACCACCTCAGACTTCGTCGTCTTCTTCTTGTGTTGGCGGAATAAGAAGAGGAAGAAGATAAATTATATTTCTCCCGAAAAAAAAAAACCTCGCTTTTGACGATCTCGGCCCGAAGAATTCGCCACTTCTACCGGTCGGAAGGGATGCGGAAGAGGAGCGGCGGCGTCGGCGGCGCGGTCCTGCATCACCACCACCGGCGGTGGGCGTTGAGGGAGAAGGCCAAGAACCGGGTGAATGACCTCCAGGGGATGTTCGCGGACGTCCAGTCGGCCCACAAGGAGGGCCGTTCGGCCGATGCCGCCGTCCTCGAGGAACAGCTCCACCAGCTGCTCCGCGAGTGGAAGGCCGAACTCGGCGAGCCCTCCCCTGCCGCCTCCGCGGCCTCCTCCTTGCCCGTCCGCAACCTCCCTCCTCTCCCCCCCTCTTTCCCCTTTTTGCTTCTTTGGATTCATGTCGTTGTGATGCTGAGTCTAAATTTGTTCTACCTTTGGCCGTGAGAAGGGGAATAGCCGCGGGCCTTCGGATCTGTCCTCGTACATCCGCCGCATGCTGCAGCTGAACGAGGAAGACGATGATGCCACAAGCAAGCTGGCAGAGCCGCCTCTGACGTCTGCAAATCCCAAGGATGAGCCGCTGGATGTGCTTGGCCCAGACGTAGGGGAGCTTCAAAGCGGAGGTGTTGCTGTTTTCCGTGGGGTGAGCTTCCTTATGGCTTTTGGATCATGCTTTAATCAGTGATTTGATCTACTGCTAAGTTGTAATCCATCAAGTAGATGATTAATCAAAAACCTGTCAACTTTTATGAGTTACTGTTCTGCTCTGAGATTATCTAGCAGAGGCTATCTTTTAGATTTCTTGGATTGCTTGTTATAAGGTACTTATAGATTCAATGAAATGAGCTCGATGGTGAAACATCATAGTTTGTGGGTTGGAAGGTCTGGAACAGAGACATATTCATAGATTTATCTGACAATCTGAACTAGGCTATCAGCAAAACCCATTTCTCTGTCGGATGAACACAAACTCAGAATGCATCCTCCGAACATACCTAAGAGATTGGCTTAGGGTGGACTTCAGGCGAAGTTTTCCAACTAGCTTTTTAATCACCCGGGTTAGAAAACTTTTAATGGGCAAGCCTTTTGTAATCATACAAATCATGTGAAACAGACTCAGTGCAAAACCACTCCAATAAATGCCCCTGCTGATCTGAACTTTGATGAAAAGCCACTGTACAGGTGAGTTTGAGTGGGTGAATGCCATGGAAATATGAATGAGGAAAAGGTGTTTTTGCAATAGACAGTTCATTTTATTCATTGATAGTGGTGCTGGGTTGGGGTTGACAGTTTTTGGTTCCAGCTTCACTAATTCTGTAGAAAGCTTATCTCTGTACTTGTCCTTTCTATGACCATCCAATATTACTTTTGAGTGATTGTGATAATAGGAAAACAAGAATCTCCCTTCTTTTGGGGGTCATGACCCTTTGCTCTTTTTTTCTCCTTGTCACGTGTACATGTGAAACTAGTGCAGCATGCCATAGGTCAGCTCCAAGCATTGTAACTTTCCTTCTGCACCTCAAAACATTTCAAAATTTAACTAAATAGTCATTAGTCAAAATCTATTGGGGCATATATTTTATTATGCGACTTTGCTTTCTTCTCATGGATTCTATTGCAAAGTATTGTGAGCCTTAAAACAGCTTCTAACATGTTCTTCAAGTGCTCGTCTGCTAAGTTTTTGCTTACTTCTCTGCAATTTGAACTATAGAATTTTGCATCTTATCTACTAATTAAAACAGGAGACACCTACCCTTATATCAAGGTCATTGCCTCTTCAGAGTAGAACTGATGCAAGTTCACTAATATTCCTGTTTATGACACATGCTGCTGTAGGCCATAGGATCCTTATCCAACTTATTAGTAACCTCAGAAAATTGAGTGTCATAACTTCTCAAAAAGGCAATTAAGTTGCTGGATCTGATTTGGGGTCCTGGCACTACTAGAAAGAGGGTAACCAAATGCATGGGAGTCGCGCCAATGACGGGTCAAACAAAGAGTTTGTTTCTGTGACCCCAATTCTGGCCCTTCAAATTGAAGAAGGAGCATTCTTACCGTGATGGAAACGCTCACACTCGCAATTTTTGTATGTTGTCAAGGCTCACCATGAAGTTTTGACATCATTGGTTCCTTTCAATTATACAGTAATTTCTTCAGCATCTATGCCTTTTATCATGAACCTTGTACATTATCGATATTACATCATCATCATCGGTAGTTATGATCTAATGGTTATGTTAAGATGCAGTCATTTTATCAGCATCTATCTTTATCATGCCACTAGTTTGCTACTCTGGTTCCTTGTTTCTATTGGCTGACCCTTTCTTCTGGTATGTTTTCTATTGAGATTGTTGGCCACTTTAGGCTCGCATAATTTAATCCCTTTTCTGACTTTGAAAATGGCTGCTCAACAAGTATGAAGCTTAAGACGGGAAAAACATAGAGTTAATATGACTTGATCTGCTTCCAACACAAGCTCGCTGAATTATTTACCTGTATTTATATTTGTTGAAAAATACAAAATGATACGAATGTCATATTTACTCTGTGCAGGAAGGAAAATGTTTAATAACAACAGATTTCTTGTTTTCTTTTATTCAGAACTTATGCATGCCATACTGAATGCTTTGCATCATTAGCTTGGAATGATCTTCGAGCTGAATGAGGAAAAAAAAAAAATCAAGATTAGCTTTTTTTTTGTCTTGGATTAGCATCATCCTGAATGATTTTCATGTACTTTTGTGTTATTTGTTCTCTCTTATTGTGCCATTGGTATTAATTTGCTTTATTTTTAATATTTTTGGACAATTTAGTGGATTTCTTTCAAGTTGCTCCTTGAGAAGGCTAAACCTTAAAGAACACTTGATATATGTTGGATGATGCTATCGTTTGTACTTTTGTTTTTTTTATCAGTTTGAGAAGCAAGAGCTGTCATTGTATATATCTTAATGTATTACATCACAATGCAGTGTGCATACTAAATACGATTTACGTTGTGTTAAACAAATTTGGTGACCTTAAATGTTGTTATCCAACTCTTATGCAGAATATGGATTGTTCATCTCATGAATCTTAAATTACTCTGCAGGAATATTCTCTGACTCAGGAAATGCCAGATTATGTATTCCTAGGGACTCAGCAATTCAAGTGCGGTTCTATAGAAGCACAGCGTGCCGCTTTGCATTGCCTGGAAGAAGCCAACAATCTTGAATTTCATCATTACAATCCGCATCAAGAATTACCACAAAGTGTATTTCTTGGTTTTAATGCTGGTGGTTTTGATGTAGGGGATCTCACACCATTTTTATCAGAATTCATCCCAGCAATATGCCCTCCACCTTCGGCTTTCCTAAGGCCGAAATGTGCACTCTGGGACTGCCCTAGGCCTGCTAGGGGATCAGAATGGTTTGAAGACTACTGTAGCAGCTTTCATGCAACTCTAGCACTGAATGAAGGACCTCCTGGTATGACTCCAGTGCTTCGTCCTGGTGGTATCGATTTGAAGGATGGTCCTCTCTTTGCGGCTTTAATTGCAAAGACACATGGAAAGAATGTTGGTATCCCAGAATGTGAAGGGGCGGCAACCAATAAATCTCCATGGAATGCGCCTGGTATGTATGTATAACTTTTTTCCAGCTTCCAGGCACATTTTCTTATTTCCTATGTTTGTTTTATTTGACGAACTTACATCTAAAATACATGTGATGTGATAGTTTAACAAGTTGACATGAATTTTCTTTTTTGAACTGATGATTACTTGTGTTTGCAGAGCTCTTTGATCTTTTAGTTCTAAATGGTGAATCAGTAAGAGAATGGCTCTTTTTTGACAAACCTCGAAGAGCATTTGAGAGTGGGAACAGAAAACAAAGATCATTACCTGATTACAGTGGTCGTGGTTGGCATGAATCAAGGAAGCAGGTGATGAAGGAATTTGGAGGACTCAAGAGGTCCTACTATATGGATCCTCAGCCGCTGCGTCACTATGAGTGGCATCTCTATGAGTATGAGATCAACAATTGTGATGCATGTGCATTGTATAGGCTAGAACTCAAGCTTGTTGATCCTAAGAAGAGTATCAAAGGAAAAGTAACAAGTGATTCACTTGTTGATCTGCAGCAGCAGATGGGAAGGCTAAATGCTGAGAATACTATGGACAGCAAGCGATACGCCAAGGGCAGGCCAAGATTTCAATACAAGGATTCTGCTGAAACCATGTATTCAGCTTTAGATTTCATCAACCAAATGGAAAATGGTGAAAGCCTACATTCATCTTTGGATCAGAAAGCCCTCGTTTGTGATGGTGTTGTTTATATGCGAAGATTCCAAACACCTGTAGATGACTTGAATGGCTATTATGGAACATAATTCAGGAGATTTTAGCAGCTAAAAGAAGAGAGGGTCAAATAGGTTAATACAATGGCATAATGCCAAATGATTTATTCACTTCAAAGACAGCTGAATCAGTTCTAGCATGAAAATGGGGTCCATCCATTGGTTGCTATTTATATGAGTAGTATTTTGTTGTCTTCATGTGGTCACTGAGTTTCCTTACGATTGTACAGGCACTAATTGATGAAACCATGATTTAACTGTATTGATGTCGGAAAACACCAGATACATTTAACTGGAAAGAGGAGAGTGGCATCTGGCATTACACTAGTATCATAAATGTACAAAGTGATGTGCTGAGTCTTTGAGCACTCTGATACTTTTGTCTGTTATACACATGGAGGGACTTTCTGCAAGGATCATACATGAAGGGGTTCTCTGTCAATTGGGACTTCTCAATCAAGCTGCCTGCTGTGGTGGAGGGTTCTTTATCAACAATGAGCTTTTCCTGGATATCGAAATAAACGAAACCAGATATTACCTATTTTTTAAGCTCTCAGTTGATGTATTTATAGACTGACGAGTGATCTTACCGCAAAATGGAAAAATAGATTTGTGCTGCTTGTAATGCTTATGATTGTAAACCAGTTGAATACTTTTCGAGACTCCTGATGTTAGCAGGTGCAGTTTGACACAGTGTTTGATAAAGATGGTCTTTTGAAGTGAGTCCCAATTGTTAATATTGCTGATATAACAGACACATTACAAGTCTCTGTTGAAAATTTTGCCCTGTAAATTTTTTTTCTAGCTTGGAAAAGAGAGATTTTGCAGTTCACCAATTCAAGCAAAGCATTGAAGATTCCCTGGTTAGGATTGTTGCAGCTGCACAGGATGCTCAAAACAAGTGTCAATGTTATTGAAAAGTATTGTATTCTTTTCCCTGATTTAGCCATTTGCCCTAAATCTAAGTGATCAAACCATTTAGCCATGGAGCATAAATCTATGTTACTGGATCAGTCAGTCAAACTTGGCTTTGGAGCTAGATCAGTGGCAGCCAGATGTCTTTTCTCATGTATTTGAATGCTGCATTTGAGATGAGTTGATGTCCCACCTCACCATTCCTAATCACACCACCATTCTTGCTATTGAAGCTTGGGGAGTGAGGATTAATTAAAGGAGGGGAATTGTTGTGTGGTTGAAAATGAGGTTATACAGCATGTCATGGTGGAATCAGATTCCAAACTTCATGCCTGACATGAAATGGTAAGTCATTTTCTTTACCAAATAGATGTTTCTTTTTTGTCGACACTTTTGCTTTAAGTGAAGTGATTGGTAATTGTGAGGTGGGAAGAGCATCACAACATGTCAAAAAGTGTGTAGAGTGAACCAAATATCACATTCTTACAAAGTTTGGAAATAATATATTTGCTTTAATCAAGAACTTTATAGAGCTATTAAAAAAGAATGATATGGGACCTCCCAACTGATCTAAATCTTTGACCTAATTCTTTACCCTGTTTTTTCTTACATGAACTAATGATATATATATATATATATTTTTTTTTTTTTTGTGTCAAGCATATTATGGAACAAATATTTTTTCTCAAGAACCCTAAATCTGTAAAAAAGGGTTAAAAGTGTGGAGTTTCTTCTGCTCCTATTTATTGAAGCTATTATTGAAGCCCTAAACCCCCCAGTTTTGTTGTCCCCAACGTCCCGCATCCAAATGCCACTTCCCCTCCTCCAATCGTCCCTTCTCCCTCCCTCCTTCCATCTTCCCCCACCTCGCGCCCGCTTCCTCCTCGCCTCCCCTTCCGCCCTCGCTCCCCGAACCCTCGTCCCCCGCCCCCTCCGCCGCCACCGGGTCGCTGCCCTCGCCAGCACCGACGAGGAGCTCCTCCGCGCCATCACCGCCCCCTCCGGACCCGATGCCCGCCTCCCCGCCATCCGCTCCTACGACGCCGACCTCGCTAGCCTCACCCTCATTGGCGCCGTCGGCTCCGAGCAGGCCGTAACCGCCGCCGCCGCCGACGGCGGTGCGGCCGCCGAAGAGCACCTCTCCTCCGGCGCCTCGACCATGGTCCTCGAGACCGTGTTCCCCGGCGGCGCCGACGAGCGCAGCACGGTCTCCACTAGGCTGGTTCGTTTGAATCTACCCCGATCTTGGCTTGTTTTGTTACATGGTTCTGGAAAGTTTAGCCTGTCCTTATTTTGTTTTTCGGTTCTGCAGTTGAATTGGGTGCTTTTAACCTGTGTATGTTAGTGAATATGATGTTTAAGAGTGCCCTCTTTAACAGTTTTTGCCAGCTAAAAGGGTGGAGGAGAAGGCCAAGAAATTGCGCAGTAGCCTCACTGCAGATTTTCTATCTGGGAATTCTAACGTGACGAAGAATATACTTGCGATGACTTTCAGGCAAGTCATCTTGCAGAAAGTCTGGAGTTTCCAGCTCTCATTGTTTTGTCCAGGGACTGAGAGGAAAATGGAAGATCTTGCAAGCCCTAGAGAGGTTCTAAATACATATTATTTGTTTTTTTGTTTTTTTTTTGTTTGTGATTTTCTCTTTTGGTTTGGTCATTCTGTGCAAATCTGTTTGATCAATTGAACAGACCCCAGCTGATTTCACTGTGAGCTCATCGGATGTAAAGTTCCTTTCTGCGCTTGCTGAGGCTGTCTCTTCCTGCGCCCTTGAAGGAACTGAAAGGAGGCACTTTGGAGAGTCCGATGGTTCTCGTTTGAGCTACATGTTTGGTTGGTTACAGAAGCCCCAAGGAAACTGCTCCGTTGATTCTTCCATATGTGTGTACAAAATTGCTGAATGTGAGATAGTGAGGAACGCGATGAGCCAGGTGGACAAATTTAACTTGAGCGATGGAAGGGCCTCATATGGTCAGAGGAAAATGCAGCACCCTTGGTGGATGGCACCCAATTATATAAGATTGGAGAAAGCTGGGGGTCCTGGATTGAGTTCTTGGACGAATGAGTTTGTTCCTGCATACAGATTGCAAATAAATACCAATACTTTTAAGGATGCAAAGCTTGAAGGAGGACACAAGATGGCCGGAAATAGGTGGGAAGTTCTCTTGACCCATTACCAAATGGTATATTTATCCTTTCCTTGTACCCTTGCTCATCTACTCCATGTGTAACTAATTAGCTAACTTGTATTTTATGATGAATATTAAGATATATGTTTATACTATGGTAAAATCGGTAATGTTCTGATAGTCCATGTTCTTTAAAGTATAATCTAGTAGAACGTGTCAAAAGTTGATTTTGTTTCTGTATTTCATGCTTCAAAAGTAGGAACACTTATATTGTTTTCATTTGCTTGGAAAGGAAGTGGTTTGATCTTGATAGAAGCAATTGGGTGAGAGTTGGAGAAGAAAAGGGGAAGGTGGAAAGAGTAATTATTGGTTATAAACAAGGTTTAGGAATATTATGGTTAGAGGTTATTTGCCTCCTAATTTTGGAAGAACAACTGTTTTGCTTCCAAAATTTACCAAGAATTGAAATGATTTCAAAAAACGAAGTAGAACATAGGACCATGGATAGTCATTGTTAAACTACTTTACTGGTTTTCAGGTGCATGAGATTCAATTGGTTGCTTGTGAGAGACATGTTTCCATCATTGCGTTTTACAATATATTGAAATTTGTTTATTTCTAAGCCATATATATTGACATGTTACCAGAGTATCAATGCTAATAATGACAATTTAATGCAGGTGGAACTTGCAAATGTTCTTGACATGTACTATGAAGACAAATACACACTCCCTGACAAACAGCTTTTCTGCAGTTTAATAACTCAATCATCAACTATCTCGATGAATAAGGTGTCTACGCAACCAACCCCTCCTCTTGTTAGTTTCTACTTTTCTGTGTTTTAAGTTAAGAAAATTTAGAGCAGCCTGTATCTGGGAAGATCTGGTCCCTGTGAAGTTTTAGTGATATTTCACACTACATAAATTTCTTTAGAATCATCTTCTTGCTTTCCCTGTTGGTTACTATATCTGGCACTTGCACAATGCAGAATCATCTGATGATGTAGTTAGTTTTACTTATGTACAATCATACTGTAACTATTTGCAGAGTTCACCATTGAAGATGCTGTTTGTTACCTTAGCTGGAGCATGCATTTTTGTTCTCATCAGTGTTCTTGCTCAAGTATGTTGGCCACACATTAAAGTCAACACATCTACAGAAAGGAATAACTTAATTTCTTCAAGGGAAATTGATGGTTTCCATTTCCAGTCTCATGGAACAGCTGAGGTATGTTAACAGGAGTTTGATGATTAATATATTATTCTTCTAGTTTAATGTATAGCTAGGAAGTCTTAGAGTTTGGAATTCTGTTGCCAGACTTCATGCTTATAAACTGGTTTCTGCGAGTGGCTTTTGTCAATTAGTAGTTCTAACGCTAGTTTACAGGGAAGGAAAAGCCTTCTGGAAATAAAATATATGAATGAGAACTCTCAGCTGATGTGAAAGGAGGATGGCTATTTGATGTACAATTTTATTGATGTACAAGTTTACTGGGTTGATTAGCAAAGGAGGGAATCAGTATGGATCTAATCAGAGTTTTTAGTCAGCCTGGTGGATGAGGTTATTATGCTGTTAGATTGTGCCTAGTGGTTGTAATTGCTAAATATCCGGAACTGTGAATGAGTTTGTAGTCTTATTTCCGTGTGTGATAGAGCTTATTTCTTGCTTTTGCAACGAAACATGAAATATTTTGTAGATCTATGAAGAAAATAGTGTTGTATTTTGGAATTAAAAGAAGAATATGCCTTCTATTTTTGTTGTGGTGGAAACTGATTTTAAACAATGGGTTTTTGAACAAATTCCATTGATTTCACTTCAACTTTGGTTGAGAGTAGGTTGGGAATGTTTTTAAGCGAAGTACTCAGCTGAAAGAGGGAATTGATATATGTTATTAACCTGGTTTCAATTTGCTCTAGAAATTCATCATTTGAAACCACAAGTGTCAGTAATAATGCTAGAGATCAGGCCAAAAGTAAGTTGTTTTAACCATATCATTTCAGAACTGAGGGAATTTTCAGTTAATTTAACTCCATATTACTATTTTCTCTTTGTGGAGATCTCCTCTCTCAAAATCTGCCTACTGATTTGGTATGACAAGACAACAAATGTATGTCCAAATTTCCATTGTCTTAGCGGACAACTTAAGAGACCATACAAGCTTGTTTTAGCAGCTGCTTTAATTAAACATGTTTGGTACTAGCTGTCAGTTTCTTGGATAGCAGGAATTGCAGTTCACTGTTTCCATAAGTATCTCAATATTTGCCTTGTTGGTTTTCTTGTCCGCTTCTGGTAGGTTTATAATCATTTTGCCATAGGTCAGGTTGCTGAAGTTAGGTAGTTTTCTATTTGAGAGTACCATTTCTTTAGCACTTTATAGAAAGCAAATGCCCTAAATGTAAGTTGTTGCATCTACATTTTTGGAAATCCAGTTACATGCAGATACTTAAGTAGTCGTTGCATCTTCACATGCTACTTTTCTTGAAGCATTGTGAACTTTCTTCCCGCGTTGTGTTTGTTCATGGTCTTGTCAGTTTCCCAACTAGAATCCACAACATGTATTATTCTATAATGAACAAAGTTTATGTGGTGTCATAAGTATCAGCATAACTAAATTCTGCTGAAGGAATGAAGAAACAGGACTGTCTGACATCATCAGTCTTCAGGGTCATTCACTAGACGTACTATGTTTATTGCTTTCCGTTTACAAAGATGCATGTGTACATGTTGAGCATGTTCCATCTTCCCATTAATTAGTTTATTTTAATCCTCATATCCAGAGTAGTTGCAAGTGAGCAATTTTTCTGGAGGTTTATTTCCTTTGTATCATTTAGTTCTGTCAGCTGGAAGTCAATTTGATTACAACTCTGTTATTTTTCAGATAGAAGGCTTGTGCATTTCAGTTGTCGAGAGGATCAAAGATGCACTTGGTTGGCCTGGGGAAGTACCTTTTGATGCGGACATGGGTGCATGGATTGGTGCAGTTCCAAGCTACTTAAGGAACAAGGATCCATCTCTTCGTGCTGTTCATGTTGATGAAGAACAGGTCAAAAACTTATATAATGGTGATATACAGTCTCAAACAGAACAATCCAACAGTATGGTCTCTCCTATCTCAAATCATGTGGAACATCCTAATGCAGAGGAGTCTACCAGTACAGAATCTCTTTCTGGAATGAACCGTGCCGATTTTCATACTACCGCGCAGGACATTGCTAGTTTTCAGGTATGTCGTCCGTTAGATGTTTTCTTTTTCCATAAAAATATAAGTGCTTTAATCATAAACACACATGCAGGTTCTTCCATTCTTTTGTCATAAATCATCAAAGTAGTGAATATGTTGATTTGGCAAATGGCTTGTGTTATTTATGTTATTCAGTAATGCTGCTTAAACCCTGTGTTCTAATTGCTAATGAATTCTTATGCCTCACCTCTACGTGATTTGGCATCTTATGATGTTTCTATCAGTATGGTAACCACAGAAGTTAAAATGTGAAGTGACTAGATCTCCTTATGGGTATTTGTGGTTGAAGGAATATGTTTCATAATATTACTTTGATTGCTTATTAACATAAAATTCACACCATCTTTTAAGGTACAGTTACTGGGTACTTGCCAATCACTCACCATCTGCCTAAAAAAATTTCATACTACTACACTTATTTTTTCCTCTCTAAAATATGATGCATTTTTGCAATTTTGGACCTGTCATACTAAATGTCATCCGAATGTGATACTGATATGTCTTAGCATGCTGCAGGTTTGATACATCAGCAAGTACTCCAACATGCACCACCATGTGATTGCCCATTTATGTTAATTCTTTGTTGCACATAGGCGTGAATCTTCTGTTGCTTACCATTTGCTTTTTTACTTGGTGTCTGTGGTTTACATGCTATCTCGATCTATTAATTATATTCTCGGTCGGCTCGCTTGTTCATGTTGTTGTTGTTATTGTTGTTTTTCAAACACATGCATGCTGAATGATAGAGGCAACTTATATATCATTTGCTAAAGATGTAAGTTATAATCTTTTCCTCTCCTATTCAGGTTGTCTTGTCTGGAGATGGTAAAATTATTGGGTTTCAGCCAACAAACCGTGTGGCTGTCAACCAATGGGCATCCAATTCCCTGGCGAAACTATTGTACGGGGGGCGAAGGTTATCTCCTGGTTAGCTCACACCCCTTATTTTCCTCGTTTTATCATGTTTGCTTCCAAATTTAAGAACACTTTTGTTCAACTGAATTTTCTGCACAGGCCTTCTCGAGCCAAGTCTAAAAATTCCCCTTCCGCGCGAGGTGGTTCTTCTCGAACTATTAATGTCGGTAAATCCCGAATCCTCTTTTGCATTGGCAAGACCGATCCGATAGCCATCCCAAAGTAAGACCAGATTTGAATAGTTTTCCCTTGTTGAGAAACACATTGTTTTCCTCCATTTGTTATTTGGAATCCCTCACTTATCATTTTGGTGATTACCAATCTGCAGTCAATCGAAGCATTGTTTGGATAGTATGTAAGAAGACTGTTGAAAAGTTTGGTTGCCTAAACTTCAAAAGGAAATGAAAGAAGGTTCAGCTACACATCAAGATACCATCGGGCATGGCGTCATCTAGATCGATAGTGTCTCAGGTTTGTGCTTCAGATAGTGCGAATTAAAAGCCTTCCTCTACTGCTGGGAAAGGCAAAGAATGTGGTTTCCTGACAAACACAGAGCATGATGGAGGAGAATACTCTGCAAATGTTATAGAAGTCGGCCTTTTCAGTGACATTAGATGCTTTATTTAATCCATCTACACTGATTCAGATTGGTGTCTGTGTGAGCTTTAAATCTGTCAATACAGACTGGTCTTCTGTATTCTAGTATAAAACCCCTATAGGTGATGCTCAAATTTCTGGGAGCATGGCGGTAAATTCTGCAACATGAGAGAGATTTGGATTCTTAAAACGACTTTTTCTTGTCCCTTTCTTTACCTACTTCTCACTTGGATCATCCGCGTTTTGTTTGATGAAAAGAAGGGAACAGGGAAAAGGGTTTACCGGGCCCTGGCGACGTAGATGATCGGGCTCCTTTTCTCTTCTTACCCCATCACTACAGCCACCTTCCTCAGCTTGGAGGACATGATCAGAGCTGGGAGTGCAGGCTCCCGAGGGGGAGACATGGTGGTGACTCAACCTGAGCCGACAGGGCCACTCTGGTTTTGAGGAACTGCGGGTCTCCATCTTTACCCCAAGACGTGATGATGGTTCAAGTTCAAGTATTTGAATCTGAGTTCAATTTTGGATTTCAATAAATATGGTACCAGAATACTTAGCAATCGCTGAGGGCGAAAGTTTTGGCGCTGGCATTAAAATTTCTTGGTTTTTGTCTGTCTTGTCTCTTTTATCCCAATTCCCATATCCCCCCTTCTCGGTCGAATCAAATTAGGGTTACTCTCTCTCTCTCTCGCTCTCTCTCTCTTTTTAACTCCCCCCCTTCCCCTCCTCCTCCCACAGATGGTAAATCCGAACAGCAAACGAAGAGCCAACAGCAACGGTGGCGGCGGCCGCGAGAAGAGCAATAATAATAGCAAGAACAACATGGGTGCTTGGGAAGAGAACACCATGGCCATCCTTGACTCCTCCGGCTTCAAGGATTCCCAGGACGTCCACGACGATCGTAGTCTCCCGCACCTTCTCTCCACCACTACCATCCTAGGACGCCTTCTGATTCCTTAACTATCTCTCTCTCTACTCTTGCAGGGCTTTGCTTCTTGGAAGCTGTTCGATCCGCCTCGCTCGCCTCCGAGCCGTCCACGGCTCCCTCTTGGTATCCTCTCTCTCTCTCTCTCTCCTTATACGTTTCGTTTCGTCGATAGATCGAGTTCTTACCTTGGGGTCTGATTTGTTTCTGCGAAGGAGAATGTTTGATGCCGTCTTCCAGATTCTCGTGGACTGCAACTCTCTTGAACTGACCATGGCCAGTTACCAGCTTCTGACCGAGTTGGATAAGGTCTCTTTTCTTTTCGTTTCAGAAAAGAAATGCTTTTGCTGTTAGTGCTTCTTTGCAATTTTGACGCTTCTTGATGTTATTCAACTGGCTTTGCAGCGCTACTCAAGAGTGTACGTGATGAAATCAGATAAGACTGAATCATCATCGAGCGGGATTGTCAATCTTGTTGTGGTTAAAGAGGTGAGAAAATATAGTGGATTTGGTATTCTCTCTCGGCTTTCTTTTTTGGGTTAGCAACATGCTAAAGTACGCAAGCTTTTGTCTTTTCAGGCATGGTCACCTTTTAATCTTGCATCAGGTGGAGAGCGAACTGCTAAGGATTTGTGCAGTTTGTTTGATTCTGTGGTTAGTGAAGTTCTTCATGTGCAAATACTTGTTCGAATGCTGCATGCCACCTTGTGTTGTTATGGATTCCTATTGTGTAATAGAACGATGAAGATTGGTTTTAGTAGAAATAGGAAAGAGAGAGTATTAAGATATTGTTCTAGTTAGAAGTGTTAGGTTCATGTTTCTTTATGTACTTCCTAGGTAAAATGGAATATGAGACTTTTTATTGTTTTTAGATATTTTCGGAATTAATATTGATTGATATTTTGATCGATCATAGTATATATGTGATTGTTTTTATGTACTTCCTACATTGATCCTTCTTAAACCCGCATCAGTGGGAGCCTCGTGCACTAGGTACTTTTTATATATTATTAATATATATTTTAAGGGTGATAAGTAACAGGTCTATTTTCCTTGGAGTAGGATTACGATGTGAGATGTTAGGAGCAAGGATCACCATTTTGTCTGGACTGGTATGAAACGGGTGGTACATATCTGATGGGGTGATCCATGGGCTGGTAGATGCCATGTTAACTTCTATCGTGGCCTATGGTTTACTGTTATGACCTTAAACTAGCATAAGGCCAACTGTGGTGGCTAACATGATCTTGCTGTGAACATTGTTTAGTTTCTAGAATCTCTCTCAGATATCTTTTTTGTTGAGATAATCGAGTCAAAGAAAATAATGATATATATATTTTATGTTCCTCTGTTCCAAATTTTGAATCTATGCAGATATTGAGCATTTGAATTGGTTGTTCTTCTATTCATATTTTAGACTTTCTCTGATTTGTTCTTTAATTGAAAACATATCTTTGTTTGGGTATATTTATCAAGCACATACTTTTTCTTTATCCATTTTTCCAATATAATTAATATTGTTGATTAATCTGGACTAAATGTGGATCTGATTTGACTCTTTCAACTTTGTTTTCTCCAGAGATTCTCTACCTTGATAGAGGACATGGTTCAAGCAGTTAACAAATTGAGCTTTGATTTGGTGTTTAAGGCAAGTATGAGTGTTGTGCATACTATTTGTCAATTTGTAATTTTTCTGAATGAATTTTATCACTATTTCCGTAGCACCCTAGTTAACCTTGTTGATGTTGTTATAATCATGATTCTTCATGTTTTTTTTCCCTATTTAGATGTAGGTTTGAAATTTTGTGAATTATCATTTGAAATATCCATAGATGTATAGTGAGAAACATGATAAATACAGAATTATGGAAGTCAATGCTTTTAATAGAGGTGTGTTTTTTCTTGGAGTCACCAGTTTAAACATTTAATTTAAGACGGTTATACTTGCTCAATTTGTGAATGTTATTAATGATGGTTGGAAAGGATTATGATTCGACATATATTATCATTTAAGGCAAATGATATACTGCAACTTTCTTGTGGACGTCACACTTATTTCATGGTTGTAAAGTATTTACAAAATAACTAACTAAATTAATCCACAAGTTGTTCCACTGAAACCCTTAGCTTTGCTGCAGTGTGTTACTTGCAAACATGCATGATCCATAGCTTTGCTGCAGTTCTATAAACTACCATTTTGTAACGAGACACATGCAAAGAAAAAACAGGGGAATATTGTTTGTGATTGCGGGGATGCTCTTTTTAGTGCCTTATTCTTCATCAGATTTTTTCCCCTGTACTTTCAGTAGTTAATGGTTTTGTTTTGATTTACATGCACTTGAAGTTCTAACCACTATCCATTTCTGTTGTTTAGGCTGTAGGAAATTTGCTATTGTTCCAGTATCTTGTAAATGTCCTCGAGGATGATCTATTACCTCGTCTTACTGTTTATAAAGGTAAATGACTCACAGCAGGAGTTCCTATTCCTTTGTTTATGTTTCCTTTTTTTTCTCCTTGCCTTAGTTTGTTTTACAGTTTTGTACAGAAACACTGAACTGGTTACTTCTCAAGGAATCTGTACTAAATATTCTTCTGGTATGTTGTGCACTTACAGAAGCCAGACAAAAAACATGAAATTTTCTTTTGCTACTTTACTGTATTGCTATCTGGCACTGTGAAGTCTTGATAACCTTCTGATCTCTTCAAAGTTCTTATTTTCTTTTGACATTCCCATGATAGTTTCTTGCTAGTATCAAAGAAGATAAATTTATCACTGTTCAAACTTGTTTTTCAGGGATCACGAAAATTAAACTTTAAGAGTTTGGTTAGGGATTGCATGTCCATTTTACTCAAGCGTTGCCATCATAATATACCAAATAACCATCAAGACCTGAGAAGCTCAGAAGATACTTGTTCTCAATCAAGTCAGGATTGTGTTGTTGGTCTATCAATTGCTGTTTCTGAACTAGAAAAAGAAACTTGTGTTGCTATACAGAAATTTTTTAAGCTGGTGAGAAGTCGAAGACATGGTCTATAACTTCTGATGGGCTACTCATCTATCAATTAAGTATTTGCATGATTCCAGGTTATGGAACTTGATGTAGCCAGGAAAGAAGCAGATATGCATGGACTTACTTCTCGGCTTGATGGCTTTAGGTGCCATTCTGTTTTTTGCTCCTCGTATGGCATACATGTTATAATTGTCTCTAGTTGAAGTTTAAATTCAGCATCATGTTGTTGACACAGGCTTCCCATCTTGGAAATCATTGTGGATGAACTAACCTACAACAGAGATAGCCTTCCCCCATTTCTTGTGGTGAGACAGGGCTGCTATAGCATCTCTTTGTGTTTTATTTTCTTCTGGTTTCCATTTTTTGTCATACTTTTTCATGGACTATTTGAACGTATTGGTAGTAGTGGTAAATATATTTCTAAGTTGATACTTATTTTTTCATAATGGTTATACTTATCTACCTTTTCAGCATGACTGCTTTTGATTTAACTTTGACAAGCTCAAAACTGTAATAGTAGTTATTTCTACCCTATAATTGCAAGCAATTTGTCTTTCATACACAGGAAAACATAACCCTGTTTTTAATGTTGCACTGATAATACACTGCAGGTCTTCTCAGAGCCTAAATGGAAGTTGGAGATCATTTTGCAGTACTTTTCAAAATATATAACAAAGGTATGCAAATTACGTCAATTGAAGCAATTTAAATCTGAACCTGCTGCAAAACTTGACACTCTGTCATCCATTCAATTTTGTTAATCAGTAAATGTGTATATGAATATATTACCTGTTTAATTTCACAGAGTTAATGTCCTAAAAGTGTTTCATTCTCACATAATATTTACCTGCAAATATAACTCACCAAGAATTTGTGAAGAGTAGAATCTTAAGAATGGTATTTAGACCTTAATAATCTATTCCATTATGAAATTATCAGTTTTTGGTCAAAGACATTGGAACAAGTTTGAAGCTGGACCAAAAGCTACTGCAACTTTCAAAATGATTGTAGGTGATCATTTTTAGGGGAAACCAGTGAAAATTCAAGATTTGATTGAGTTTGGGAGGCCTGGTTCACTCCAAACCTATCTGTTTACACCAAAAAAACTTGGTTTTGGCTGATACCTCTGCTGCAGATAATGACAGATCCTTTAAGTTTGCTTCATTTCTCTTTTTGCCTTCTCCAGTCATTTTTGCTCAGATGTGGGTAGTGTATATGCCATTCACTTCTATTTTCTTAAATTTGATTGCAGAGATTGGTTTTATGAGGGTAATTTATGTTTTCATTATTTACCGTCTACACTTGTAGGCATAGAGCATACGAGTTCCTGTTCAATATTTTTTTGTTCATTCTCATTTTTCAAACAATGTCCTGTTCGAAAGGCATTGTTCCTGCAGTAATCTTATCCATCATCCTCATGCACGATTTTGATGGTGTTAATTTGCAACCTTGGCCCATCATTTCTTCCGATTACTTTATGGCCTTTGGCAATGGAAGTTCCTTTTAAATTTTAATCTGCATCGACATGTTTTGCTTTTCTCTTTTCATTATATGTATCTCTTAGCATCTCCAGCTCAACTAGCTGACCGTGTATATGCTAACTACTTCATTTCCTACTAACCCAGAATTATACTATTGTTTGAACTTTGGCATTTCCATATCCAATCAAGTCTAAAGGAATACAACAATCATATTAGTTTCAAGGCCTAACAAAATGCGTTTAGTTCTTAATCACCTAGGAAGAGCATCATGCTAGGTGGTTCGTTGCTAGGTTGATTCTAATTGTCCAGGTTACACATAAGTCATCACTAATCTCAAGATTGTGGGACTGATTGGATTGGAAGATGAGAAAAATTGTTGCAGATTTTCTTTGTCTAGTGAATAAATGGCTGAATAGAGTCAGAAGAAGAAGGTTGACCAATGATAAAGTTAAATAAGAGAAAAGAAAAAAGATGATTTGGGTCCAGTGACTTTGAAACCTTCCTCGATAGTCAAAGATCATGTATTTAGATTTTTATTTGAAGTATCTCAACTAGACAGTTTATTGCTTCATTCAATACTGAAAAATTAAAAGAAAAAAAGATTGATTTACTGGATAAGACTCCATAAAAGAAAAGTTTGTATGGCAATGTATTGAGTCATCAGTCTACCAGTAGCAAACTAGCTTAATTGCTTGATGCAGAAGCTTTGCTTGCACAATCTGTGTCAACAATGTATACCACATATAACATTATATAGGTGCTCCTCTTTTTGTGTTCCAAATATAAATATTTATGCTATTCTTGCCTTGTGATAACAATTGTATGTTTTTTGAGACCCATGCCTAGTAAAAGTTTCTTATCATTTACTTTGCATTTCTGTTTATTGCTTTAGTCCTCTGTTAGAACTCGAAGATCAAATGAGAAATCAGATGGTGCAACTTTGAGGGGCATGCTGAACAACTTTTCAACTGCTGCAAATACAAAGAATATTGTGAAAAGAGTTACTTCAGGAGCAGCCCAACTGCTTTTAGCACATGCTTTTCAGGTAAGTTCTTTGGATTCATTATGAATATCAATGATTGCCATACTATTGATCATGTATTGGAACAAGTCAGAAAAAAATGTCCTGTCAATTTCTGGAGGTACCAACTGATACCTAAACAAATTTTGGATGTGTGTTTGCCAGAGGCCTAGAAATGTATGGACACTCTACGAAACAAGTGCATTTTGGGATTTAATAATTCTGTAATTAGTCACTTACTGGTTGGTCTTTGCAGGTATTTAATAATCAAATATTTTATTCTGTGGATTTTGCTAGCCCTTCTTATGTATGACTGGATTGTAAGCCTTGAGTTACCTGAGACTGAAAACAGAAAATAAATGTTATAAAAGCTGCATATAAGTAGAACTCATGCAAGCATTATATTTAGCTTCAGCAATACTTAAACCAATCATTGGTAACATAATGTTCTTTATAGATCAATAAAATATTATGTTTAATGACAACCTAATTCTTATGTTTATTTTTGTACAGGCTTGTCTCTCCCTAGTACGTGACTCTAAGCAGATTGCTAGCTCTACTGAAAGGATCGGTGCAACTCTTTCTGAGATATGCAACAGCTTAATTTCTGCTTTCAGAAACCTCAGAAAAACTGATGAGTAAGACCAGTTCTCCCCTGTAAATTTTCCGATAAGTAGCTTCCCATCGTGTTTTGTCTTGTGAAACTTTGTTTGGCTCTTTTGCCAAATGCTACCCATACACTGGAACAAGTTGTTATATGTAGGATAAACTTGTGTAGCTGGCCACGGTTGCAGGAGTAACGTGCACTTTGTAGAAGACTATCGAATTATCTAACTAATTGTATTATGCCTTTTAACAGGGGTTTGGAGATCACGTCTTTTGCCAAGGAAGCCTTGTTTGCTGCTGCCATAGTCCTGAAAAGAAAGCCTTAACTGAGGATGCGGAAGGCATACTCGATCAAGATTACTACCCTGCAGGTTTCATCTTTCTCATGTGACTGCAATGTCTTGGAGAAGACGTCTAACTGATTTAAGTCATAGTATGCACAATTGTGAATCAGGAGTTTGTAACCTGCCGGGCAAAAAATGAAAGATCTTACCAGGTCTCCACATGGTGTGGCTGTAGGTATTGGACAAACATGATGTGGGTTTTGTGGGTCTTTTAATTTATTCTACTAATTTGAGGGGTCTTTTAATTTATTTTATTAATTTGATTGAGTTTAATTAATTGGATTGATTGGGCCTTTTAAAGCCCCAACAATACCTTTCCTTTACTTTCAAATAGTGCTCATAATTAAAAAAATCTAAAATTCCTTTTAAATTTTTTTCAACAATTTTTTTTGCGTATCTTTTTAGTGTTTTGAAAGATTGTAGTGTTTTTATTTGACTCATTTGTTGTGCTTTTATAGAAGTACTGTAAATGTTATTAAAAAATATTATAGGTAATATTATATTATAATTATTTTCATTGTTATTGTTCGTATATCATGATAATATTATTTTTTTAGGTTTGTGGTTGGTTTGATTGTTTGTAATGCTTTCAATTAGATTTTATAGTATTTTTATTATGATGATTAAAATATTATAATAAATTAATTTTTAATTTTTATTTATGTGATGTTTTTAAATTATTTTAGATACCTATTTGAATCGGTATATCAAATGATTTTTAGTGTGTTTTGATTTTTTGGTTTATTTATAATATTTTCAAGTAGTTTTTTTAGTGATTTTAAATTAAAAATAGTGTTTGAGAAAAAGTGAAATCTAGGATTGTTTTGATTGTTTGTAATGCTTTCAATTAGATTTTATAGTATTTTTATTATGATGATTAAAATATTATAATAAATTAATTTTTAATTTTTATTTATGTGATGTTTTTAAATTATTTTAGATACCTATTTGAATCGATATATCAAATGATTTTTACTGTGTTTTGATTTTTTGGTTTATTTATAGTATTTTCAAGTAGATTTTATAGTGATTTTAAATTAAAAATAGTGTTTGAGAAAAAGTGAAATCTAGGAATATCTATTGAAAAATAGCCAAAAAAATATTTTTTTCTAAGGAAATCATTCTTTCTTTTATTATCTATTTTTTATTAGTTCAATTAAATGCATTAAGGAAAGGTATTGTTGGGGTTCTAAAAGGTAAGAGTGCTCTTCGAGAAAAAGGAATAATAACAAAATGAAAAACTAAAATCAATAACGTGTTTTCTCGGAAATGGACTCATTAAGAAGAATAAACACTATAATTATTGACATCGGTGGAAAAATATGCAATTTTGTCCTATTAAAAATATAATTGGCTTGATCCGACCAATCTTGATCTTTTAGAGTCATTCTCGAACGATCCGCTCACCGCTTCCCTCCCCCTAACTCACCTATAAAACGCTTGAATCCGTCATCCCTCGGATCCCAGCACCACCTCCGCCTCCCCCCTCTCTCTCTTCTTCACCCCTTTCTCCCCGACCCACTCCAAGAACGAGCGAAGGAACGCCTCTTCTTCCCGCCGATTCCTCCTCCTCCTCCTCTCACCCAGCTCCGTCATTCCACCCACCCACGCGAAGAAAGAAGCGCCTCTTCTTCCGTCGGCCGCCATGGCCTCCGACACCTCAGCCGACGCAGCCGAGGTCGACAGGCTCTACGAGTTCGGCGAGCGGCTTAACGAGGCCAAAGACAAGTCAGAGGTGCCCTCCCCCTTCTTCTTCCTCTCTTTTCCTGCCTTTTGCTTGGGAGCCCTCTTCCCTTCTTTAGGGTTTGCCTTCGAGGCACTTGTTCTGATTTTTCTTTGGGGATTTCGCAGCATGTGAGTGACTACGAGGGGATCATAGCGGCTGTGGAAGGGCATTGCGTGAAGGCGAAGCAGTTGGCCGCGCAGCTCATCCCGCGGTTCTTTAAGTTCTTTCCGGGTCTCTCCAGCAGGGCCGTGACCGCGCTTTTCGATTTGGTCGAGGAGGACGATCTTGGGGTTCGTTTCTGCTCCACTCTTTCCCTTTCTTTTTCTTTCTCCCTTTCGTTGGCCAATGCAACACATCTAGCCTTTGACAGCGGTTTATAGTATAAACTAGTGGTTGGCGTGGTTGCTTGTGTGCTTTAGAATTGATTAGAGACCTCCGCCATGTCCTCATATCAGATTTATTTTATCTTTTTTGGAAGATTTATTTTTGTAGGATGTCCTGAACCTCTATCTGCAGTTAAATGTTAATTCAAGGATTCAAAAGATGGTTTAATGTTGGTCAAGTTGGTTTTATTTGTGGGGTTTCTCCATTTAATAAAGAAACAAGCATATGCCATTAACAAACCTAGGTCACCAGTAATAGATTGGTCCATACTTTTAAGGCCTTAGATATCCCAATACTTGTTGTACCTTTGTTGTTGGTAACTTTACTGAGGTCTAATTTCGAGCTTATCAGCTGAAAATCAAGAGGTGATTATTCTTTTGAAGCAATTTGGTTTTATGGAATCAGATTGTATAGGGTTTTTCTTTTTCTCTGCATGTTCTGAGAAAAGACTCATACCAGCCAACCTCTAATAGTCAATTTAGCCTCAAACTATGTCAGGTATCCGTCCATGTTTGTGTTTCCGTTCTAAGGGCTGAAGAACTTTGATGTTGAAATTGCTTCTGAAATTTTGTCTGTTCACCACCTCAGAAACGAATTTGGATCAACTAAATGCTGCACTGTCAGAGATGAACAGATGCAGCTACAATTAGATCCCTACCATTGCTGTTTGAACCAGCGCCAACTACTTTGCTTAAAAAAAAAAGATGATGACAAATTATTGTTGCTGTTAAAGACGAAACAGCAAATAGAGCATTGGGTTTTAGGAAATAAAAGAGTGGAGATAAAGATGCTAGTAGGCTAAAGATGGTATCTCATACTTGACTGTAAAATCAAGGTTATGATAGAGATACAATCCGATATGCATCTATAGTTATTACCAAGATTTCCAATATGTTTATATTGGACTAGTATGTATCTGTCAGTTCTTTCTCATATGACTAGTTGCAGCAGCCTGTCATTCACTCGGGGTGGGCACTTCTACACCCAATGCGGAAGAGTTTGATGCGGTGTGCCTCAGTATATTGTAAAAAAAACAAGATTGCTTAGTATGTTGGCTTTAACCAGATTGATACACACATGATAATGTCTGATCAGACTGGTATTGGCAAAACAATTGTAAGGTCTGTTAAAGACATTAAAAAAAACTTAAGTGTTGCTGATGTGAGGATTTTGCAATGAATTTGTCAAATTGCTAAAAGAAAAAATAGAATAATGATGTCATTCCAAAGAAGGGTCAAATAAAGGAAAATTGTGTAAGGTATTATAGACATGATCAAAGGCGACCTACAGATATACTAGTGACTTGGTGAGCTAGTTAGGATTGATGCAAGAAGAGATAGGGAAAGATCCAAGAAAAAAGGTTTGATGATTCGTACTTTTAGTAATGTCGTCCGTATTACCGACCTCAGAATAGATGGGACCATCTTGCTGTTTCTTGTTCTAGTTGTCATCATTGTTATCTGAGGGAAACTCCTTGTCTCTATTTAACATTTATAATGGTCAACTGTTATGAAGCTTGTTCTTGCATATCTCTCGGCTAGTTGTAGGAGGTGACTTTTAGATTCTTATATTTCCTGGTAGTTTTTTTAAATTTTTTATGGTGAAGATAGTTTTTCTTGCATTTTATCTGTATTAAATGTTTATTATTGTCTTTCTATGCTTACAGATCAGAGTACAGGCTATTCGTAGCCTTCCTCTTCTGTGCAAAGATACACCAGAATATGTATCTAAAATTGTTGATGTTCTTGGGCAACTATTAACATCTGGTACATTTATCTCTTTAGAAACCATATTTATCCTTTTAAATGTTTAAACATTATGCTTCTGTTCGTGATTTTTTGGTTACTTTATTTCCTAGAGGAAAACGTGGAGCGTGATGCGGTGCATAAAGCTCTTATGTCCCTTTTAAGGCAGGATGTAAAAGGTAATCCAAAATTATCAGTATTAATGCCAATTGCTATTAACAACTGATCCTTTGTTCCTGTATGCTGCTTTACTTTAAAATAACTTGTCTAGATTTGTTCTGATAATGGTGGCTTTTTCCAGTATTCTAGTTGGGTTCATCTTCAGTAGTTCGACTTTGACATGGTGCTGTGTCATGTATTTGCCATTGTACCATAAAATACCCTTTTTCAGATGTCACTTAGCTCTTTATTCTCTACTCTTGAGAAAGCAATACATGGTCGTTTTTGCATGCATCCTTATTTTTTGCAGGTTAGTTCAATCTGGTAGATGGTTGAAGAAGTATTCTTTTAGGCTTTTAGAATGTGTCAGAACTCTTATTGTCAATATCACTTTTTGGCAAACCAAGCAACTTGCATATTGCAATGGAAAACAGAGAAGAAATCCAAGTTTTATGAAGAAACTTTGAAAGGAATGTGAGGTCTGATCAAATGTTGCTTTAAGTAAGAATTGCAAAATGACAAATGATTGTTGAAATCTTTTACAGATAAGATTTTATGTTACACATCTAAAAAGCAATTGGTGTGCTATGTTGAATTTCACTCAAATACACAATGATAGGTATTGTTAGTCCCAGTGTTCTTAATTTCAGGTATCAGACCTGTACAAGTCTTGGGCTGAATTAGTACGGGTTCGAGCCATATGGACATATCTTGTCTTGATATGCTGGTACATATTGAGTTCTGCAAAAAAAGCTGAAATATATAAGTTACTGCCTGGTACAAGGTCTGTACCGGGCACTACTTACTCATACCGTATGCCTTGTACTAGGCTTGAACCACAAGTTGGAGGCTGTTGGACCGATAATACCGCTAGTATTGAATCATATTGAATGGTGCTGCAAACCCTGATTTGTCTCTCGATAACTGACAACTCATCACATGGATGTAGCTGTTAATACAACCTTAAATTTAATAAACTAATAATGTTGATCAAAAGTAGTTTTCTATTTGACAGTTTAGAACTGATGGTGTTGATTAAGGTTAAGAAACTAATAATGTCAAGCACAATTCGATATACTAGTTATGTTGATCAAGTTGCATCAACTAATAATATTAGTCAAGATTGAACAAAGTAATAACATGAAATAATTGCAAGGCCTTGAAATTGCTCAGAACAGTCATTTTCACCCTATATAATGATGTCATTCATTTGTAGTTGATAGAAAGTGGAAGGAGAGTAATAGAAATGGGTGAAGATACAGGAAGGTGGGCAAGAGACACTGACTTCTTGATATCTGTTGACCAGTTCATGCCAACTGACACCTTGTTAAATCGATCCTTTGATATGGCATTTGACAAATGTTATGGTTAAAGTTTAAGTAATTATCATGGATCACTGACTTTATGCTTTGGTGCTATGAAATTTGTTTGAATTACTTGTTTCCTTTCATTGAGCAATTGATCTGCAGGTTGGACTGACTTTGGCTTGTTCATGATTGTTTCTTACGATTGATCGTACATCATGATCTTTCCTGGCTCTTTAATTTGTCTATCCTTTTGGCTCGTTAATGTCTTAGATGTGCAACTTGATAGATTTTTCAAGTGTGGATAAATGTCTTATTTTCTCTTATAATACCATCAGCAAGAGAAAAAAATTAGGATAGATTTGTGGGGAAAAATATTGGTCATAAGCATTTTTAATATATTAATCCTCATTATTTTTCATTCTTATATTTGATACAAATTTTTATCATCATTTATCTTTTAATTACAAATATTTTCTTTTGAAGCTAGAAATTTTATGAAATATGAAGGTAAAAGAATCTTTTACAATGTTTTGCCCTTTTCTTTTTAAATTGTAAATTATTTTAAGAACTAGTCCCAATTACTGATGCAACCCTTGTGATTTTAATTGTATCAATTCCTGAACCTCATACCAATCCTGCAAACTGTGAAACTCATCCATGTTCTCATTTTACAAATCTTGGTACACAAGTTCTATCTGATACACACTCAGGTGGCTGCCACATACCTATGTGATACACTCAGGTTGCCCTTGTGTTTTGCAGGGGCATTTTGACAGCATTGGTCTTATCGAAGAAATGCTTTATGTTTTCCTGATAGTATTCTTTTTATGAGAAAGTTATGAACTTCTATTCAGCTTTTAGAGAAAGAATCTTGTAGTGGGCTTTGTTCCTTTAACATTATACTTTACTGCACATCTGATCAGTAGTTCTGGTTCTTCAGCTTCTTTAACAGCTTTGTTTAGGCATGTTGAGATAGGAATGGAAAATGTTCGGGAGAAAGTTATTTGTTTTCTTAAGGACAAGGTAAGCCTTCATTAATTTTCTTTCTTTGTTAGTGAAAATATTTTCTAATGGACTCAAAAGGTGTCCTTTTAGGTGTTTCCTATTAAAGCTGAGCTGCTGAAGCCTCAAGTGGAGATGGAAAGGCACGTGACCAATTTGGTGAAAAAGGTAATTTTGATTCTCTTTTATAGATTGTATATGATTTTTCTTTGGCACGTAAGTTTCAGTAAATTTTGGATGTCCAATAGGCAGTTTGTTGTGTCATATTTTTTATATTTGGCATCCGGAGTTTACAAAGCATAACTGGTCCTGAGTTTACCTATAAGTTTCCATATTTTTTTGATGTTCTGTAGACATTGTCATGTGATGATTTGTGTTTGGCTTCCAGAGTTTACAAGATGTAACTGGTGCTGAATTTAAATTATTCATGGACTTCCTGAGGAGTTTTAGCATATTTGGTGTTGGTGTACCTCCAGAACATATTCAAGAACTTATTGAGATTATAGAAGGACAAGCGGACCTGGATGCACAATTCAATGTGAGTAAACTATAATTGATGTACCTTAATTATGGAAGTAAACAGTCAAAGAAGTCTCATTTTTGTTCCCTTTCTGAAATAGTAGAGGACATGTTTTTCTTCATTTGAATTGAGGCTTATGAAGAAAATTCTTTCTGTAGATGTGGCAGCATATTGTCAAATTGCTTATAATATACTTTATTCCATATAACTCCTTGTTTATATAATAATTTTATACACAAATTCAGAATTTAAATACCTATGTGCGCTTAGCCTAGAATTACAACACTTTTGTGCATTTGATTATGTATTATCTCTTGTCATACATATATTCCTTATTCTATATGCATTCTTGATTTAGAGCTTTCATTTTCTTTTTTGCTTCATCTCATCTATACTGCTCTCTGGTGTGTTTATGACATACCTCACCTTAGAGGAGATGATAAAACACCATGATACTTTATTTACTGATTACCCTCCAAAATTTTCAAATTCACTTGGAAAATGCTCAAGATTACTTTTTGGTGTAAGTTCAATTCTTTCAAGCTTGTTGTCCTCACTGTTAAATTTTTCAACAGTCTTTAATTGCCAGCTGCTAGTAAATTTTTCAACAGTATTTAAATTTTCAACAGTCTTTCAAGCTTCTTTCTCAAGATTACTTGCAAATATGCTGCTAGTAAAATTGCCAGCTGTCTTTAATCGTCTTAAAGCAGAGTCTCAAATACAACACTTTACTGGCTGGCTGTACTGACATACAAAAGTGTTTTTATTATTTCCTTATAGGTTTACTGATGCATAGCATACCAACTTGTTTGATAAGATTGTGCACAGTTATAGAACATTGCTGAAAGAAGCCTATATTTGCACAATTGAACCCTCTGGGTTATATTAATATGGCCTTTTGGCACCTTTGCTGATTTTTTTTTTCTTTCCTTGATTGACTTCTTCCAAGAGAGCTTTGTTTTATCGTTGCATTTTTGGCTGCAAGAGTTGTGCAAATTTTGTTTTATCTTTTATTTTTAAGGCATCGTAGTAGCCTTAATGTTTATACTAGATACATTGCCTTGGAGCATTTCCATAACTCAAAATGGATTCAAGTACAATTCAAGTTTCATCGTTCATGGTGATCTTTAGCCCTTGTGCCTGGTTTTGTTGACATATTTATTGGCTCAAAAGAAAATGGATTATCATACTGTTCAAGGTTGGTCTCCTTTGATGGTTATATATAAAATCGCAGAAGATTTGCATTTGCACATCTGTACATTCAGAATTACCACATGAAAAAGGTAGAATGATGCTGTCAGGCATAATCTGTCCATTTGAATTGTTGAACATGGAGTTAACATGAATCGTGGCTTTTCGTTTCATTTTTGTTTTTTAAAGTTCATTTCTAAGTCTCTTTAGCATTGTTTAACTGTCCTTAAATCCACGACTTTGTTAAACCCTAAGTACTGAATCATCAATCCTTATTGGGTAATGTTTGATCTTTTGTTGCAGGTTGAAGATATCGATCATATAGATAGATTGATTTCATGCATGTGTATGGCTCTTCCGTTTTTTGCAGTAAGTTCCTGGGTTTTGTGCAAATTTTTCGTCATTATATGGCGGAGTAAAATATTGATGACATGATATGAACAAATTCTATTGTATCAGAGAGGTGCCTCAAGCAGCAAGTTCCTCAGTTATATCAACAAGCATATATTACCTGTATTTGATAAGGTAACCTCTGTAAACCTTTAAACTTTACAAAGGATGAGCCTTGGCTTGACCCTAAGATTGCTCCTTTGCAATCTAGGTGATCAGATTTCTTGTCATAGAAAGGGTTATGTCTACATACATGGACCTTCCCTAAACCTTGCATCGGCAGGATCCTTGGCTGTCCTTGTTTGCATTGTGGTTATCTTTTAGAATACGCTAGTTTCATCCTCTATGCAATTATTTTGGTATGTGTTTAGTTTGTAACAGTTAGGTGTATGGCATATTCTCTGTATGGATGTGTCATCACGCATGTGCATGTGTATCCATGTGTGGATACATGATTAAGTCTGATGTGGATGTCCATGTTTGTGTATGAATTTTTATGGTTGCTTTTTGAATGTAGTTTACCTTCTTTGTCGCATGTTTGCATTGACCAGCTGTATTGATGCCGATATATAATGTATTTTCCTTCTGTAGAATGTTATATTTCACATATGTTGTATGCTGACCCTCTGATCTTTTCAGCTTCCTGAAGAAAGGAAGTTAGATTTGCTCAAGAATGTTGCTGTAAGTTCACCTTATGCAACTGCACAGGATTCACGCCAACTTCTTCCATCTATTGTTACACTTTTAAAGGTACAATATCTTGCACCAGCAGGTCCATGATAGTGGATACAACTACTACTGTTTTTTCCCCAGTATGTAGCACATATTGCTGCTTTTTTCTAATGTTTCTTGTTTAGTCTCATATGGGATTGTGTGTTTTTGAATTCTTTCATTACATATTTGTTTCTAATGGAAGTAGTCTATTGTTTTAATCTGTTCTTTATTTTTTATGGTTTTTTTTTGGAAATTTTTTCTTATACTTGCATAGCTACTTATATTCTTTTCTTATTTGCTATACATTGGACTTTATACTGTATGGACGACTATTCTGTTGCCATTCATCTGTTAGCTTTTTTCATTCATATCTGTGATGACTGCCATTTTTGATAAAACTATCTTATTTTCTTTATTCTTATTTTGATGTTTTGCAGAAGTACATGCCTCGGAGAAAGACAGAGGGGCCTAAATATGATTATCTTGAATGCTTATTTTTCTCATTTCACCATTTAGCACATAAGGTTATTAGACATGCTCTCTCTATCCCCCTCCCCACCCCCCCACCCCCCCTCCTCTCTGCAGATTCTTGTGTTAATCTAATATCTGTATTATGCAGACTCCAAACTCTACAAATAGCCTTTGTGGTTACAAGATAGTAACTGGCCAGCCATCAGACAGACTTGGGGAGGATTTTTCAGAAAATTATAAAGATTTTACTGAGAGGTGAATTGAACTTAACTGTCTGAATTTATTTGTTTGATATTCAGTTTGGCATATTCATTTAGTTTCAAACTTGGCTTACAAGTGTCAAAAATAAGTATTAGCCAAAGATATGTGTATATGCTCTTTTGGTAAAAAAGAGCATAATCAAAATCAGATATTATTTCTAGTTTACATGAATACTAGAAACACTACAAGGTGTTTGGATATGTGAGAGGCATACATGAGAATAGAATTTCTTCCATATTATGCAAAATTTATATCCACTAATGGACAAAAAATTATGGCCTACCTAGGGCCTATCTATGCAGTCTTCCATATTAAGCAAAATTTTTCTATTGGTAATGTTGAAAGGATGACAGTTTAAAGGTCATCGATGATAGTTAAACTTTCAAGTGATTTCTGAAAGGCTTTGCTGCAGTCCTGATATGGCAGATGTTTTGGAGGATGTAAGATGATTTCTTTCTACTTAGGATTTTTTATTATTATTATTTCTTTTTTCAACCTAACTATGATCTTTTTTTTTCAACCTACCATGCACAGTGGGATTTGTATTTACTTGTGCTTGTTATGCTGAAGTTATGTGGTTGACATGTTACTGACAACCTTAGCTTGGTGAGGCAGATTAAGCTCTACAGAGGAAGTTGTCAAGAACGCCATAAAGAAACTAACCCAGGGGATGGCTGATCATAACAAAGCATTGTCTGTGGCAAAGACCGAAGAGGAAAAGGCTAACATTGTGAGTTTTCCATTCTTGCTGCTGGCTTGAAATGATCGCGTAGCGCTAAGGCTTCGGTTGACCTTACAGCTGCCCCGCTGATGCTATGCAGAAAACAGAGCAGCAGAAAACGACAACAGCACTGCATAACTGTAACAATATACTGGCTATGACTCAGGTTAGTGTGAGGTCCATTGTGAGTGGATAAGGCAATAAGATGGACCGGATTAAGCTTGACCTGAGTGGATAAGGCAATAAGATGGTCTCTAGTTAAGCTTGACCTGAGTGGGGTGGAAATTGTCATCCTAAATTTAACTCAATGATGTGTCCTCCTCAGCTCTTACATGCGAAAGCGCCTTTATTTATTGGAGACAATAAAATCAACCTGTCTTGGAAGGAACCCATGAAACAGTCGTCGGCTTCGACAATGCCTACAGGGTATGAAAAATGGGCCCCGAAGCTTTGTTGTACTATTGGGCTTTGATTGTTCTTCCCTTGATCTTCTTCCCTTGATCTGGCATAAAGATTGTCTTTTGGGTACTTGGACAGGAGTAAGAGAAAAGCAGCTGCGCCGGTTAATGGGTCAAGAAGCACAAGCGCCACAGTTGAAAAGAAGGCACGAGGTGAGGGAATCGTTCAAAGCCAGCTTGTTAACAGGGCATTGGAAGGCTTGTCTCGAGGTGGTGGCGGCAGAAGTGGAAGGGCTGGAAGGGGCTGGGGTGGAAGAGGAAGAGGAAGAGGAAGAGGATGGGGATGGGGTTTCCGTTAGGACAGAAGGGACTTCAGTTCGTCTCACCAGCTGCAGCATTGACAAATTTTTTTGTTTTTTCTCCCCGATAGGTAGGATGAGGCAACAGCACCACCCCCCAACCCCTCCCCAGGCATGGTTGACTTGTAAGCATAGATGTATGTATTTAATGCTTAGCTGCATCAGATTTTTGCTTACCTTTGTCCAATGGCATTTTACCAGTAATTCACTAGTGTTGTCCGTGACTCAGAATGTTATTTGTTTAATTCTGTCGGCTGCCACTCTTTCGCTTAGTTTCATATAGTGTGTTGTTTTCTGTTGGAAAGCGTAGATGAGCAAATTATTATTATTATCATTATTATTATTTATTTATTTCTAATGAGAGGTGAAAGGTAAGGGATTTTATTAATGACCTTTGATCTTGTGCAGTAAATTTTCCTCCGCAAGCGGTCGTTGTCTATGCCTCAACCTAGAAACTCTGACATGAGAGATTTTGATGGAAACTCAAAAATCTTATTCCGGGTTAAGGGATTCAAATTAAAGGGTTCCCCATTTGAATTTAAAATCTTTATGACCTAAAGTGCTGTTAATATGCTTAAAAATAATTTTTAAATTCATGGTTTCTAAAATAGGTGTTAAGCTATAAAAATGTGACTGTTGCACATAAAAATGAAACAGTTGACAAAAAATTAATTATGCAGTCAAGGCAGAACAACCGGGTAGCTTCCTCGAATTTCCCTGAAGGCAACTTGTGGATAATGTTCTTTTTTATGTCAGATGTGCTCAATTAAAACACAAACTTTTTAAACCCCTGGCGAGCACACTTGTAAAAAAACCTTTTGTACTCCAAAACATTTAAACCCTTCTAGGAGAAAGTTAACGACGTAGTATTTTCTTACAAAAACAAAAAAGAAAAGAAAAGAAAATGACAACTTGAAATTAATTGAATGCATGTAATATTCCTTTATAGATGGCAAAACTCACCGATTTTAAGAATCACCAATCTCCACCGCTTTGTAGATGGCATCCGGACAGAATTGTGCTTCTACGACAATTTCTGTAACATGATATATTGATATTAAACTTTAACAAAATGTATCTTGCAATCATGTTAAGGTGAAGAATGAATGAGACATTCTTCTTAATTGGTCCATTGAATTCTTGGGCGTTTCCACCATGCCTCGATACCAGAAAATTATGAATGTTTTAATTGCACCATAAAATATGGAGATGGGCGTCCGCTACCATTAATGCATCATAAATTATGGAGATGGAGCATCCGCTACCAAATCTTATTTATCTATGGGTGATGAAGCTCTCTATATAATTTGGTGAACAAGAACCTTCTAAACTTCTTTATCATGGGGGCGAAGATCGCGTGTGTTATCCTTCTCCTCATCCTTTTTGCAGGTAAGCTCGAACATGTATGCCTTTTCTTCTCTAATTTGCTCTCATTAGCACAACAACTTTGACAAATAAAAAATCATAAAATTTCGACAAGTCAGGTATTATAGATTTTGATTGAACCATATTTTATGAAAAAAGTGGGGTCAAAATAGAGTTCTTATTTCAATATGATTTTCTTTTCTTGAATTGTTATTAAGAGGGCATTTGATATGATGGTCTAAACAAAAGTCTTTAGTTCATGCTAAATAAATATCTAAACAATCATACTCTTTGAGGTATTCATGGGTTGGTTAATCATGTTGATAATTTTAATTAATTCTCAATAGTCCATACCAAGCCATAGTAAAAGATTAAACCAACTCATCATCAATATGCATTGGGTAAGAAAAAAAAAAGGTACAATTTTTGTGTAAAGGTTCTTTGGCTTCAACCAACCTACCTTTTTTTTTTTTTTTTTTCTCTTGAGATTTGGCTTCATCAGATCAAGGTGCAAAAATAAGAATAGAATTGCTTCTCCTAGATTTTTCCTACCACATCAAACTCCACAAAAAGTGATTCTAATTCATGGTTTCTAAAATAGGTGCGATATATATCTGGGTGTCTTAACGAGAGGACAGAATTCAGCATAAGATTAACAACACGTGATAGTATTACCTCATGCTATTATCAACAATATAAAAACTCATGTTTGATTACATATAATATCTAGATAAAAATGTAATTGTCACCTAACTTAAACAACTCATGTGACAGTATTACCTCATGCTATTATCAACAATATAAAAACTTCTGTTTGATTGCATATAATATCTAGATAAAAACGTAACGGTCGCCTTACTTATGCATTTACCTTTGCAACAGCTGATGTTGTGGTTGAGGCACAACAACCCGATCGTATCTGCAAAGTTGTCTTAGACAGCCCATGTACCGATTCAAATTGTGCGGAGGGATGCACTAGAACTTATACTGGAGATGGTGTTTGTGATAATAATCGATGCATATGTTCCTTTCAATGTCCGTTGTGACTCTAGACACTTTGTTTCCTGGGGATCTCAATAAATAAAAAGCTTATCAACTCAGAGATTCCTGGGGATCTCATCTTTTATACTTCAATGCGAGAAGTATTATCAATAAAAAACATAAATATACAATATGAATTGATGCTATTCAACTCATGAACACCTGCCACATCAATATGAATTTAGAATTCTAGACAACTAAAAACTTGAAACGAATGCATGTCTTATGCCTCTAATAGTCAATGGGCAAAACAAGAAGCAAACAGGTAGATGAGAGAAAGAAAAACCTTGATCCAATTTGTAAAAAGCATATTATGAAAGAACAACTCATAATTTTACCTGACAACACTAATGAGATCTTCAGATGGGCATTTTAGAACTTCAGCATTTATAACTGTGCCAAAGTCATCGACCAACAACCTTTATTTCTTGAGCAATAAATAAAAACCAACTCATTATGTATACATATATAGAAGAATTGCATATATATATATATATATATATATATATATATATATATATATATATATATATATATGTATGTATGTATGAATCAAGTAATTTAAACCTTAAGATTCAAATAAATCAAGTAATCGATTGAAGAAATATATCT